CGTAGAATGCAGATACGGGCATGTAAAATACACTTGTGAAAAGCTTGAAATCTGGCGATTCTAAAAATATATACTTTCCTGGGTCTATTTGTAGTCATTTAGTCACAATTAGAAGATGAAAACAAGTATGCAAATAATAGTCCCGCTACCTTAAACATAAATAAGTCATGAAAAAATAAAAATTACGATACTGTCACAAATATTATAATTATGAATTGTTAAGCATGAGAAAGGTTAGTCACCTAACACCAACCGTTCGAGGTCACCAAGAAACGAAGTAACAATTTAATGTCTATCTTGAATGTTGTTGAAGTTCGTTTTACTTTGTTTGTATTATGTCATATTCAGGCAACTCGTGGTGTTACAGAACCGACGCTCGCGTTCTGTCGGGGCCGTTACGTATGTAGACAACAAGCGAATGTCGAAAATGTTATATTACGTAAAAGTAACAAAAGAAACACGTTTACCTAAATTTGTTTAGGGGTTTAGGTGTTCTGATGGCAATGCCGTGGTTCCACGTTGATGTAATCATGGAAGGTACTAACAGAAAGAGCCACGACGCCTATGAAGTGACCACTTAAGCCTCTTAACTGGCTTATTTTCTTTTGTTTCAACCCAAATTAATCGTGATAAGAACATTGTCTAGCCCATCTTTGATGTCGATGATTGTTTGCGATTGTTTACACAAGTAACGAGTTAGCGGAGTATGATATAACCACGCCATTTTTTTAATGTGACTATAAAATATATGCGCATTATGAAACTACGGTCATAACACATGCGCACTGGGTTTGTTTTGGTGTGAAAAGTCAAAATACGTATTTCACAACCGGAAATTCAACTGATGAACGTTTGACTTCACAAATTTCACATGTTTTAATTATTAGCAACTGTAACTAGAACACAATTTCGAGTGTCTACAACAAAAATTCATAAGGACTCCTAAACAAATTATCACAGAGAAAGTGTCTAGGCATGCTCTTGTTTGAATACTATCTTAGCTGTTGGTGTTCGCCGATGCCCGGTGGTCAAAAATGTCGACAGTTTCGGGCGCCAAACCCACGAACTGACAATGGTACCATTGAATAATGCAATCGTCACAAGCAATCATTGATTAAATCTTATTACCATTACAAATACAAAATTCACGATATTTCATCAGTTGTTTTTCAATCAATGTTATATCTGACAATTTTCCATTAAAATTCGCCAAGAATTCCGGGAACAACAGCATTCAAACTAGACGCCATTTTCAATATTGTACATGCGAGGTTCGACTATCGCTTCCGAACATGCTCCGAATATTACCGAATGCTCGAGATTACCGTAACCCATTGTACGAAGGTGCTAAAAGCTAACACGAACAATGTTCGTGAACCAACACTGACAAACGATCATAGGGTAACGCTAAAACAATAGCGTCGTGGCTTCTTCCGTTAGTACCTTCCATGATGTAATCGGTTGAAGCAACATAATATACTCGTGCGACGAACTAAGTATTGGTACACGAGGTATTATCAACACAACAAACCCGTTCCCATCATTTTTATAAATATTTATAAATTTCTCAATTCAAATCAGTAGGCTATATTCGCCAAAATCGTGTGATATTTTCAAAGATATCAATTCCCACTATGCTCGTTGATTGGCTGGTTGGATTAAACTGCTTTTTAAAATGTATAAATATTCAAAAAATGCGGCAGGAGAGGAGTTCGTTGTGTCGATTATACTGTTTTTATAATAACTTATGATGCGTATAATTAGCCCATTGAATAAAAGGAGGGTTAGTGATACTAATCGATTCAGAATTTTATACAATAATGGGATCCAGGATGTTTAGACGGCTTGATACTGATACTGAGTCGCAGTTTTGAAATTAGAAGAAATTTGACAAGGGACCACGTTAACCATTGTCATCAAAGGTTAAATGTGAACAATTGTGCGAACCGCCGATTGCGAAGTCAAGAAGTTTGTATAAAAAACAAACAGTTTTCACTCTCAGATCTTACAACACGGATGTTCATGGAAAAGGCTTGGAAAAAGAAATCAATGAATTTAGACAGAATAGGTATATAATGTAATGTTGATTCAATATATGTAATCAAAAATCCTCATCGTCTCTGGGTGGGCTGAACGAGCTGACTAATTGCGCCCTAGACACAAAAATAAAATAATTATTTAATATATTTAATAACATGACAGAATAATAAAGAATACCTATACGATGTAAAATAATTTTATTACTGGTTAGCGGCATTAAAAGAAATTTAGAGATTACCAAACCAGTAATGCTGTAGAAGGGAGAACTAATCAGGCTGCCAAATCACATGATTGGCCTTAGCAACTATTGTCACAGTAAGAATGACAATTTCTTGAATTTTCAAGATATATTGTTCCAGCTCACTTCGTTCACACTCCACTCGTGAAGAAATCCATGTCGTACGATTCGACAACTACGTTTAAATGTGTCGTCGTTTTTCATCTAAAATATTAGTAAAACCTCTACGAATATAATCTCAAATAATGGATGAATACAGATCACAATACCGACGCTTTGAACGGTCACGTTATTGAGACGTTTCGTCGTTTTAGAGCGCGTGGATATCTTCATATTTAATGTATGTCGACAACTGACTGACTTTAGTATAATTCTAAATTTTTTGTGATGACTTCTCGTTTGAAATACACTGAAATCACCGCTTGTGATGGGCTGATAGGTTTTTTTTTGTTCTTGTTCTGGTCTTTGACTTTTTATTCCGTTTTTGTGACTTGCACATCGAGTGTGAACAGTATTGAAGTGTAACCACGTGACTCCATGTTCAGTTTCTTCATGTTTTGAGCGCCATATTTTACCCAATTTTCTAATGTCGCGTTTTCAATTTCTTGAAGTATTCTACTATTTTACTGAACTTTGAACCAAATGAACACCATTTTTACCGGCTTGATCATTATTTGCTAATTACGAGGATGTATTTTGTTCAAAGTGACAACAGTTGATTTCATATCAAAAGGATCACGTGACATGTGCTGGCAACGACTGCAGCGTGTCACAGACCACGTGACAGACCACGATCATGTGTTCGTCGATATATGGAAATTAGTATGAGGATAACACACAACAGAAAATTGTTGTATTTATATATAAACTAATTCCGCAACTTCGTGTCATGTTTGCACGTTATAGCAATAAGCAGACCACATACTTTCCCTATCCGAGGCGTTGATCATAATAATGTCAAGTTCCAACATTGATATTATATAGGTGTCACACCATCATTAGAACGTACATCATGCCGCGGGTCACATGTACACGCCTATTTAATTAAAAAGAAATTGGTGCAAGCAATGACATGCTTTTATTTTAAACTATGTTATTTAATATGTTGCCATAATAACTAATCCTTGAATATTTGAGTGGAATTTTAGCCCAAACTATCTGATTTTAAAATGGCGAAGGCAGTGTAGTTGATTTAATCTCTGACAACTAATAATTAGTTGTCTGAGATTCAATCATGCTGTTTAATATTTGATCAAAAATAACAAAATACAACTCACTATTTTTACATTTTTGGTAGATAATATGTAAGGTAGGCCTCTTTTTCAAGTTTTCATAATATTAGGATTTGTATCAATCAGCGAGGAATGCAGTTATCACATGCCTAATATCAAATATCGCCCGCCTCTGTATCAATAGCTCACCATGGCCAAACACCCCCAATAGTCGTTTTAGCGAGGTTATGTTAAACCTCCACTCTAGGATAAACCGAGTCTAGGATAAACGCAAAATTGATTTTCCGTTCAACTGCGAGATCTCGTGAGTTGTGTGAAAGACGCGCGCCGAGCGTCTGCCGCAAAAATCGAACGATTTGATTTTGAACACGAATGTCTGTATTTCATAACTCACATCGAAAGGATTATCTTTGATAGGGGAATACTAGTATTGCGGTTGAATACGCTTACTTCATCGAAATTGAATATCATCAAACGCGTAAAGCACATTTGCCCCAAATATTTCCCCCTAAATACTTTCGCGTTTGTGGAATCCTACGTGATGTTTTTCACCACTACGACGTCCAATCTCCTTCCCATAGGTCTTTACGCTTTACGCAATAGTACATAACGCGCATCGAACGTGTAAATATCGATTTCGATTAAATCAATCGAATGCGATTGGTCTGTACAAACAATAGGTGTGGTTGACAAGGCGCGGGTCCAGGATGTTATTTGATGGGTGTTCCCCCAGGCTCTTGTAAACGAGTCAAGAGGTTATATATTTTAGCCAGTGTGATCTATTCTACTCAACCCTCAAAGATATGTCGATTATTTTTGATAAATATATAGGTGTCGTGACAAAAGCAAACAAAAAAGATTGTTTACGCCCACTAAGACTCAACGCATTTATGTTTTGTGTGCTCATTGGATTTGATTGTTAATAAGCCTTAGACCGCAAATGACCATCGAAATCTCGTTGAGCGCGAGAGAGCCACGAGACTTGTTTTTGATCCCTAATAGTTGTCCACTCTCTCCCATCATCGCGTCAACAGTTCCAATTACCATGGTTACACAGATAGTTAAACAGTGCACGTGATGACAGAAGTGAATGATACACTATTTGAGTGACATATATACAAGGTATTTGTAAGGGGTTGACCATTACCAACTCTGGGGGGGGGTAGATTTAGAGAATATAATCTGCACAGAGAATGTAAAGCAAATTAGTTAACATGTTTGCAGTTCACGCGATACAGTCCGGCATTGGATGCGTTTGTCCAAGGTACGTGTGTATATTTGCACATGTAGGTGTGTGTACGCATATTTAAGATTTCAAGATATGCAAATTACAAAAAAACGTTATTGTATAAATAAACTTATCCTTATATGTATACATGTGAAAACTTGAACAAATTAAATGATGATGGCTTGTTTGTTCAATATCACGACCTCAACACGTTGCCATGATGACGTGCATATATTCTGTGTACACTCGTAGTTGATGTGTACTAATTTAAAAGTGGTCTTCCGCCTTCAAAGTCATTATTCGCCAGTCCTCCGCGATTTAACGGCATCATAGCAGAATGGCAGCCCAACACTCTGCCGATTCAAACCAATGGACCAAGGGACTGTTTGGTTGTTTCAGCGATCTTGGTCTCTGTGTCTACACGTATTTCTGTCCGTGTCTGGTCGCTGGTCGAAACGCCGAGGTATTTGGGGAAAGCTGTGTGATTTACGGGCTCGCTGTGTTCATTCCCATTCTGAATTGCATATTTGGAGCTAAGACCCGTGAAAATATACGGGAGAAGTATTCTATCACGGGCACTAAGAACAGCGACTATCTGATACACTGTTTCTGCACGCTCTGTGCTTTGACACAAGAATCGACGGAGTTGAAGGAACACGGCGATGCCCCCAAACGAGACCTCATAGACCGAGATTAGGTGAGTACAATGAACTTACTCAAATGAACTTACTCACACACCGAAAGATAATCTGTTTAAACCTTCAGATATGCGATTGCTTTACAGTTAAATGTAAATCTATTATTCAAAACACCTGAAAATATCGATTATCTTATTGGATATACCCGTGTCCACGTCAGTAGCTTCTAATGTCGGGGTTGTTTCGCCGTGTACATTTACAATTTTTAAAAACAGTATATACGCACTAACATATTAACACATGACATCATCATCTTTCACAGTAACGCACATGTCCGCGAATTTTGTGGAGAAATTCGTCTTTGTCTTGGTTTACATGGATTTTACATGGATTAGTGACGTAAAATATTGTACTATTACACAAGTTCTAAAACTAATTTTGGCCAGTTTATACCGTCATGGCCAAAATTGGGGTGATAATCATCAAGGTACTACTAACTCTAGACACGCCTTAGTTTGTTTTGTGAGGAGGAATTGACAAGCATATATACATTTATACGCAATATATTTCAAGGATACTGCCGACTAATTCGGTTAATACTGTATTAACAGCTACATTTTAAATCACCACTATCAGAATTGGAGGTTTTGATGACGTCATGGCTTTACATTATCACACGCTAATGTAAATCTCTATTCGCAAGTAAATTCATTTCAACACAGAACACCAAAATTGAACAAAATGTGTTCTATTCTGAAAAGAAAAGAAAAAGGTCTACTCAGACGCGATACTGTGATTCTAAACCAATATTATGTCATTTTTATTTAAAAATTTAATAGATTCATTGGTACATGTTAATCAGAATTAACTTTTTATTTTTTATGGAATCTATAAGTATATCTAATTATTTTATTTAAGTTTCAGACCTTTCATAAATTAACAACCCGCATTGTAGTAATGACTAAATTTGCACATTCCCATGTCTAGTAAATAATTAGCAAATCATACAGTCAAGTATGCACTAGTTTTAAAACATCTTTAGTGCTTACCTATCATCTCTAATTTACTGGATGTCAAAACATTAGTGACATAAGTTTTTATGTTTATTTGAAAAAAAATAATCCCACCACTATTATGCTATTATTATGCAAATTGGTGTGTATATCTTTGTTTTAATTTTGACATCAAAATAATTAATCAAATAAGTACTACTTAGCAGATACTCAGCAGATCTTTACATTTTTTTCAGAGTTTGTAGATTTAATGTAGATTAACATAACAGTCACAGCGACTGTTATTAAATTCGCACATGTTATCGGACGAACAACATTTTCTGATGAAAGTGCAAAAATATAAATTTAAATTTAAAAAAAAAAGTTATCTAAAATCGCTGTGAATTTTACGTTTCTTGTTTTTATTCTACATGTTCCAAAACAGGTGGTATTCTTTTCAATTCATTCACAGTAATGATTTGCATCTTCAGTAAAAGATTTATTTACATAGCGGTCACATGACCACATGGATGTTGTATCTAATCACAGTCCCGATCTAACGTAACATCGATTTTTTAATTAGTGTGAATTACGAGATTTCATAAAATATGTAGTTGAGAACAATTCTTCTATGAAAATAATTAGTGTGAATTTATTTTTTCCGAAAACGTTGAAATGTAACAATTTGTTCAGATATAGCAGTTATATTATTACTCAAAACGAAAGGCTTCGACAGAGAAATAATTAATTGGTGCATTTATTAACCGGACACACCCTATACATAGATGTGTTCTCCTGGTGAGTTATCTTCACATGACAAACACAGTGTCAGTGGTTTTGACATGAATTACAACATCTGACAGTTTCAGTGACAATTATTTTATTGATTGATTTCCCGGGAAGTTATTTGTTTTACAGTGAATCTGATTACACTTCGGCATAGTGGTAGATCAATATTTGTTTTTTATTTTGCATCAGATGAAAACTTTTGTCTATATACAACAAAATAGCAACATTCAATTCAGTCATACGCATACCAAGAAAGCTTATTACAAATCTTAAGTTTTCTTTTGTCTAAGTTTTAAAAAATATAGTACATGAAATGTGTCTAATCTATGATTTTAAACTTTCGAAACACACAATTGTCTTCCATATTTATTTTGTCGAATGCTTGCCAACGACCATGCACACATCGTTTTTGTGTGTACAGGCCTTTATACTGTATTAGTAGAGACTGATAACATAGGGGTCTCTTCCTTATCAAATCATAGAGTCCAGAGCATTTCCTATAGATCGCACCCTTTATCGACGAAATATTTCCCTCCGTGACGTACTTAAATTGGGTGACGCAAAGGCCGTTCGAGTCGATATCGTGTGATCTCTAATCGTCCATGAATAAAAATTATATATTTGAGAGGTTTGACTATATTGTAGATGGTGAATGGATAGCCAAACACAGTTATCGATTTAAACGACATTTGGCTCGTCCATGTACGTCATTTTGACGTCAGAAAAACGCTCTGCCACTAGAGGGCGCGACTAATAAAATGATGTACTACTAACACGTACTCCAAAATACTTTAATTTTTTACTATTTTCACTGCAAGGATAATTCAGTTAAAATATAATCCTTTGAATATACATTTATTTCTATACATCCAACTCATGAAAAATCAGTAAACTTTATAAAATATAAAATAAACTTTATACACACCCAAAAAGTTTTTTTAGCGAAAAATTATCCCAGGTAAAATCAAGTATTTTACAGTATTGATCAATATATACTTAGTAGTCTAGTGGTTCGTATCACGTACTTTTGAAAGCGGTTAAACCTCGGCTATGTGTTACGAATTTCAAGGTTAAAAGAACATGCAAAGTTCAATGTTTGACCCCCGGGATAGACACCCGTACATAAACATAGTCACATTTTCGAGGTTTTGTGGCACCCCGTACACAGCTCGAAATGAAGTAACTCCGGACCCGGAGTGGAGAATGAGGTGAAGCATTTGACAAACATTTGACAAAGACGAGAAACAAAATAATTCCACATTCATTTAGCTGTGTGATGTAAAAAATGGAGAAAATGGCAATACAAGAAATGTGGCGTCATGCAGAGGTGCGGAAAACCCAAACAACATTTTTACATATTTTTATGAATTGTATTTCAGGTTTCTGAGTGAATGATGGAGTATCGATATATTGGTCAACACGCACTTAACTAGAAGATGAAATCGTTATCATGGTGACTTTACTTGGGTATGAAGAGCTGCTCGCATACAACTTTCTGTGTGACACACTGGCACGATACTGTAACGCTATCCATATTTACACTTCGGACTCTTCGTATAGTTACCAATGACTACGACTACTAACTCTTTCTATGTTCTTCAATTTTACTCACTTAGTTTTATACATTTCATTGACGAGATTTATTGTAACCATCGATCGAGGCGTATATTGCCGTAGAGATGACGATTTCAGTATGCTACGTCACGATTTCTGTATGCTACGTCACGATTTCATTATGCTACGTCACGATTTCAGTTTGCTACGTCACGATTTCAGTATGCTACGTTATTAAACACCGTGATTGAATGTAATTACACAAAATATAAACTATTATCACGTTCCATTATTCAACGAGTATTCCAATACCTTTTATTATTGTACATCTGTCACCGTAACGCCATAAGTTACAGCGTGCCGTAATTTCGGGGTATTTTACGGGGTATTTTCATCCTACCACATATGGAAATGCAAATTCCAAATATAGAATGATTACGCACGTAAGCGTCCTGTAATAAAAAAAAAAACATGACTGCCACCAGTGTTTGACCGGAATCCACACAAAGAAGTTCGCTGATTCTGTTCTAAACTTTTTGAATTTCGGCATTCCCATGATGTATCCTTGGAAGGAAAAGATTGTATAATAATAAGGTTATTACAAGGATACCTCAAAGTATGCACTCAGACAGTACGCCGTCGCATCGATCTCCGCTGCGCGACGGTCGATACTCCCGCTGTACTGTCTTCGTGCATACTTTGAGGTATTCTGTATGGCTGCTCCGAAGCACACTACTCATAACTTGAGCGTACTCACAGTATTTACGTCGTTGATACATTTTAAAATCAGCGCTGGTTCAACTGTAAATTTTGCTTTGTAGAAAAACAACTTACTCCCAAAAAGTACCAGGATGTGTGACCTTTAGGGGTCATTGACGTGTTCGCGGTGTGAAAAATAGATATTTAAAAATAAATATTTATTTCCACAGAGTAGTATGATCCAATTGTAGTGACATATTTACACCAGAACAAACACACATCCAGGCGTTATTAAACTAGTATGATAATCAACTATCAAGATCATGCAGGCATGTGACATGTATTCATTTACATACTAACTCAAAACGGGAAAATGAAATGGGATTTCATCCTAAAAGGTAATATTGAACAACTGACACTGAATGACCACAAATATACATAGGTTTAAAATATGATCGAATGCGATGCGAAAAAAAAAAGAAATGCCAAAGTTGTAGAACTGTTTTCGACGGTGAGTCTGTGCATCAATCACAGTGGCAGTGAGAATTATTGGAGTCGATGTGGATGCAATGTTCACTGCCAAATTCAAGTATCATTACGTTTGGCGATTTAAAACTTTTGTCTCCCTGTTCTCAAATTTCTAGATACCATTTTAGTAATAGAAAATTCAGAATTATATGGTTCGGACTGAACCGTGATATTACATGTACTTAATGTTTCGTCTCACTGCATATACAAAGTACACATCACCTGTTGTATTCACAAGCAGTTTATTTCAAATTATCAATAAACAGTAAAATGTGTACAGGTCGCAAATGTGAAGCAGGTCCATAGCAAAGAGTGTGACTTATAACTCACAATACACAAATTACCCAGGTGAGGTGTAATTTTCACGATTGTTTTTTTTTTTTTTAAATCAGCGGCTTTCTATCGTATGTTTTGTAATCCAAATGTTTCCGATACAGTGTAATTCGTGTGATACTACTGAAAAATATTACTAGTATTCAAAAATTCGAAACGTTTCCATTAAAAAAAATGTATATTTTATTACGCATACTAATATATTCCGAATGTGGCGTAAAACAAATACAATGCTTAAATGGATAACTGTAGTAAAAATAATTATTTTAATTCTGTTTTGTTATTGCAATAAAAAAGAATAAAAATTACAAACAAAGCTTAGAGTCTAAATAACATGTCAGAGTAATTATAAGAAGCGGGTGTATATAAAATAAGACTACTATATCTAATCTAAGTTATTTGACATATTCATAAGTCATAAGGGACGACCATTTATTATGTCTGGGGGAACAAAACAGGGGAGTCAGCATATTTTCCAACGGCACAAGGGGGCAGTGACTTTTTATCAAGGCTGAAGGGAGGCGAATATTTTTTCTTAAAGATTGAGACACAATATTTTTACTATACGCCTTTTTTGGAAATAAATATATATAGAGAAAGGGGGGTTACAAATTTTTAATTTTTTTCTAAAGGGGCACCCTCTTTTACAAAATGAATAATATTTTTTTAAAAAGCACCGAGAATTGCCCGACCCCCCTGAGGAATAATAAATGGTCATTCCCTAAGTAAAGCAAGATGTACTTTGTTTATTGTGTTAATGACCTTAAAGAGCAGTATAATGCGGAACTAAAAACGCATTTTTAGTTACACGGTTAGTATTAAACTAACTTATTAAACGTCTTGATAGTTTAGACTTTGAAAATGATCCTCACACTGCATAAATGCGTTTACATAAATTTGCATAGGATGTCACAACAGAATACTGCTGTAACGAAAATTCGTTTTCTATTGTTCTTACCAAAATCATAAATTATGAACCAGAAATAGAACTAGAAACAGAAGGGCAATATCACGTAAAGCTATCCGCGTTGTTTCTTTACGTGTATTCATTGTAACCTAGTTCATCGCAGCAAAACTAGTTCCATTTGTTCACAGTTTGTTTGTTTGTTTGTTTGTTTGTTCTTCTATGCAGTCGATGGTTCAGGTGGATATACATGAACAAGTCACGTGCGAAACACGTGTAGAAACAATGCATACAAGTCATGTTCTTTTCAAGAGGAACAGATATATTTAACTCGCCAAAAATAGTGAAAATAAACATCCATACACCCAAAAAGTCTTTTCAGCGAAAATTAATTCCAGCTAAAATAAAGTATTTTACAGTATTAGTATCAAATATGTACTCCCCGTTGTACAAAAATAATGCGGAAGACATCCGTGTTGTTAACTCCAGTTTAACAATACAAGTAATTTTTTTACTAAACACAAATGAAATTAGGGGAACGATACAATAAAAAAAATGAATACAAAAATTACACGAGAACGTAATTATATATAGCAGAAATCCATTACGATAACGGTAAATAACAAATTTTATATAAAAAATGATAGAATATAATAAAACACTACGACCAATATAAAATAATATCGATTTCGTTATACATATTTGACAACCGCATTGTAAACAAGAGTGTACTATATAACACAGTTGTTTCATCAGCTTATTTCAGTCATCAAAATATATAATAATTAAATTGTTTGCTGTTTTGATAATTCCATAAACTAAATTAAACCCTTCTCTGGCCCAAATTAATTTCAAGCTAAATGCATAATATTAGCATAATCATATGTCACGTTTATTTGGTTCGCTACTGTGCTTTTCGTTTGAATCGTACCCCGAATAAAAATACAATTAATGTGAACACAAACTTGATCCATGAGTTTATGGCAAAAGTTAGTATCCAAATTGGTCCCTGGTTCAGACTAGTAGACGTTGTTTTTGTGGTGTACACTAGATATTATTTTAGAGTTATGAGTACAAAGTTACAAATGTTTGAAAAAAGGCAAGAGTTTTCACAATACTCACACTCCAGGATCGGATAAGTAAATGAGGTTAAATCTGGTAGTTATTTTCTATAGTACATATATTCACAGTTATATGCCTCGTGATCACTGCTCTAAAGTGTGGTGCTTGCTTTTACCAAAAACAATACAATTTATTTCGGTATATTTCCAATATTCATGTTTACCTCTCATTTAGAATATTAATAGTTGTTATAATCGATTTCCCAAGTTTTTGGAGGTTTTCTACAAACGCCAACTTGGTTGAAGCATGCTATATTATTGTGTGCCGATGATCAGACAAGAAAAAAGTGACCCGGATGTACACAGCAAACCAGATACATACAAGTAGTAGAATCATTGGACACTTTTTGCATGGCCTCACACGTGACCAATATCTGCTTATATCACTGTCTCAGTTAGTACAGAGACCACTGTACAACTTTACTGCAGAAACATGGTTCAAGTCGTGAGTCTCTCCACTGTCACGCTCATCATGAGCGAACTAGAGTTTGAAACAGCTTTGACCAAAGAAACTCTGGTTTACTGGTTTACAAAAATGAAATTGACCACAATTCACAAATATACAAGTTCTAAAGTTGGCCTGTCTAAGACTGTATTATATACCTGCATTGATATTCATTTCGAATACGTTTACAAAATAATATTTGTCAACAATTGCATTGTAATTATGATTTCAATGGGCTCTACTATTGTTCACACACCCACTTCTCCTACTGGCCGATCAACGTTTTTTGGTCGAGTCATTGGGATGGGGTAAACTCGGTTCCAATATATTGCTGTTTACACTACTGTGATTTTGAGCCGAACCGTGAGCAGCGTAATGAAAAAATACCGCTGAGGGCAGTATAACAATCATGAACAACTAAAAATTACAGAAGGCGCGAGAAAAAGACAGAGACAGAAACTCGAGCCTACCGGAGATGCAACCCCCCCTAAAACTCGTCAAATTCGCGATATAACTTTCATAACGTTATCAATTCTTGTACGTTAACGGGAATTTTTGAAACCTCGGTCAGGTAACTAAAAGTCTAAGGTGCTTGTTGGGGTACGACAACGAGCAGTAAGACAAACAGTTGTGACGTCATCATTCTTCACATTGAGAATTTAAAAATTTGTCGTTGCATCGATGGAGTTCTTTTTGGAGGTTATTTCAACATCCTTCTTTTTCTGGGTATCACATTTTGGACCACAACAAACGTAAACCAATAACGCAATAATCATGAACAGTGACAAGTATATTGCTATGGAAACGCCGATATCTTTCATGAGCTTCTGCATCTGAAATAAATAAACAGATAAATTGTCATTACTGCGCTCTAAGAAAGTATTCTGGATTGATGTTCGGTACTTTCATGTTTGTTTTAACAAAACTGCTTGTGTTGGTGACGTTCACGCACACAAACGAAATTTAATAACAACATTGATGAAAATGAACAATTGGAATTTTACGGTATGTATACTGGACTCATTCAATTATCGTGACTTATTTTTGAAAATTGAATGTCAAATTTCACCAGACCGGCCGACGTGGATTTGGTATCGCTATTTTTGGAATTAATCATTAACATTTCCTCGTTTCTCTGCTCTGTCAAAATGAGTTACCTATGCCTTTTTCACGTAACTGTCTCATTAAAATAATAAAAAATATTACATCTAGAACAAGCACCCAAAACACGTCACAAGAGGTTTCAGTTCAAGTGCTTTCACGATACAAGTGTCACACAACTATTAGATTTGAAGTGTCGTTCAGAATTTAATAATAGTTAATACTAGTTGTATGTTCGCACTTTACTATCAAAACCACCATTCGACCACTCATGTGCCAGTGATCAGTGTTTGGGCGAGCGGTCGGTGTTTCAATGAGCGAGCGAGCGAATAAAAAAAAACGCGATTAAAATGCGGTCGGTTTCCGGTCGGACAAGACCGCATAACAAAAGAGTATACGGATCAGATGTTATCATTTAAACCCTTCCAAAGATAAACATATGCAAATATCCACGAAACGGTAGTTGTAGTCTTTTCCGCTAGCGTTTTGAAACACTAATTTAAGCAACGTTATTTCGCAATTTCGATCTTTTGTAAACCTGGGATGATGTATCAAGGTCTAATATAACCGTTTTATCAATTTTTGAAAAATCAAGAAAAAAGTGAAAATTTCCCTTCTCGCTACCTTAAGTCCGTCGACGAATCAAGTAATCTTCGAACCTATATTAATTTCAGTATGTGAGCTCACAACAACTAATCAAAGTTGCAATTACAGTGAATTACGAACTGCCTTACCGTGTATTCAGGAAAACTCGCAACGTTCTCAGAATCCATTGACCCATAGTAGGTTTCCAGTAGCAACAAGTTTCGCCTGAAAACAGTTAATATATAAAAGCATTGAAGACATTGTTGGTCACATGTATGGTGCATGGGATATGAAGTCTGGTTTATAATATGATATATGAATATGATGCGATTTATGATGCGATATATAATGCGACATATGATGCGATGTATAATGCGATATATGATGCGATATATGGTGATATATGATGCGATATATATGATATACAATGCGATATATGATGCGACATATAATGCTATATATGTGATATATGATGCGATATATGATGCGATATATATTGCGATATGTGATGCGATATATGTGATATATGATGCGATTTATAATGCGATATATGATGCGACAATGATACGACATATAATGCGATATATGTGATATATGATGCGATATATGATGCGATATATAATGCGATATATGTGATATATGATGCGATATATAATGCGATATATGATGCGACAATGATGCGATATATGTGATATATATCGATATATGATGCGATATATGGTGTGATATATAATGCGATATGTGATTTGATATATGGTGTGATATATGATGCGACATATGTCATATATATGTCCATTGACCCATAGTAGGTTTCCAGTAGCAACAAGTTTCGCCTGAAGCCAGTTAATATATAAAAGCATTAAACACATTGTTGGTCACATGTATGGTGCATGGGATATGAAGTCTGGTTTATAATATGATATATGAATATGATGCGATTTATGATGCGATATATGATGTGACATATGATGCGATGTATAATGCGATATATGATGCGGTATATGATGATATATGATGCGATATATATATATGATATATGATGCGATTTATAATGCGATATATGATGCGACAATGATGCGACATATAATGCGATATATGTGATAAATTATGCGATATATGATGCGATATATAATGCGACAATGATGCGATATATAATGCGATATATGATGCGATATGTGTGATATATGATGCGATTTATAATGCGATATATGATGCGACATATAATGCGATATATGTGATATATGATGCTATATATGATGCGATATATTATGCGATATATAATGCGACAATGATGCGATATATAATGCGATATATGTGATATATGATGCGATATATAATGCGATATATGATGCGACAATGATGCGATATATGTGATATATATCGATATATGATGCGATATATGGTGTGATACATAATTCGATATGTGATTTGATATATAGTGTGATATATGATGCAATATATGATGTGACATATGTTGCGATATACGAATTTATTTAATTGTGTGATTTTATGTAAGTGACCTAATGTGGCGTGCGTGACGTCATACTGTTTGAACTGCTTGAGAATCAAATTGATGCGGTTGTCAAGTTGATAGACCACTATGGTTCAATTAAAATTAACTATAAATCGGAATAACTTTGTAATACATAAAAGCGTCTTTTCTACATCTCTAAAAGAAGACCGATTTATCTATATCTAACTTACCGTATTGCTGTTTCGTCGTTGAGTACCTGTGACGTCACATTACTGTACCGCAATTCTTCTAACAGATGTGGAACATACGGTGATGACGGCCATGTTGCCTCTGATGTCATTTCCACCTTGTATTTAGTCTCACTGAAGAAATATAGTGAGAACATCGAATGAGATGGGGGTACATATTAGTATCCCTCAACTATCCACACAACTACGTGTAAGTGAGGCAGAAACAACATCATACACGACCATACAAACCAAACAACAAATTCATGACAATGAATACGGACCAATTAGTGAGACTGACCTCGAGAATTGACGTCTGCGGATTCGAAAAAAGTGAGGACATTCTGCTTCTCATGCGGAACCCGCCATACATCCATCTTAAATCATAATTCAACATTCCTACAAATCGCGCCCTCTGGCGGCATGGAATTTCTGAGACGTCTAAATGGTGTACTAGTGATGAAGGCAATGCCTTTCAAACCGACAACTGTATTTGGTCTAGAATTTAGTAAAATCTCTCAAAAATTCATTGATGAACAAGTACAGATCAAAACGCTATCGACGCTTTGTTATCCATTTACGTCATAGAAGCGGTTCACCGCTAGAGGGCGCAACTACATATTCGGTAACCGACAAGGAACATCATTGATATCGTTTTCATGTTTTTAACCAATGTCAAAATGTCGAGATTGTATTTTAGCTGGAAGCAAGCACGATATTTGTTCAAGGGATGTTTATTAAAATGTGATATAAAAAGCAGCGTACACCCAGAGTACACCCATGACGAGGTTGACTATGTATCCACACGTACCTGCACGGCAATGGACAGTCACATGTAACTACCCCTGTACGATGAATGTGACGAAGCAGCTGAAGACATAAATCTACATAATAATAAATAATATGCAGTTTTGGTATTAGTAACTAAATATCTGAACGATAGAAAATCTAAATCATGGGCGTCTGCCATTCATAATCTAGGATAGTTCACCACTGAGATTCACACTTCGTGTCCATACACAATTATCGACGCAATCATATTAATGAATCATAATATACCACGTGACTAAACTTATGCAAGGGACAAACTCACCTTGACGGATGTCGGTCACATCACATGGTGCAGTCTCATTAGCAATCAAGGAGTCCGTGCAACCGCAGTATTCAAGCATCTCGTATCGTAAACATTTTTCACGGCATTCCTGTGGGCCAATAAATCAGAATCTATCACACCTAGCACCCTCTAACGACAGACGTAAGTGGGTGTAATGGTAAGCCATTCACAGGGTCGATATTTTGGTATGCTGTCTTCCGTCGGTAAAACTACTTTCTTGTAGTGAATTGTTATATTGTGAATAACGAACAACTTTACAGCCGAACAGAGCTGAATATGCTGAATGTCAGAAAACTGAACTCGAACTTGAGACAAACATCATTGTATACTGCACTATGATCTGAGGTTGATTATTATTACTGTTCTCTCACTTCCGGTTTTTAATCATATATAACACGAACGGCTGTGGACACATCCTTTTAACAACTCTGTTAGAAGACAGGATTTGCCATTTTTCTTTGCATGACATAGAAAATAAAATTAATACTCTTTCTTTTTGTATGTTCAAAATATAAAAAAAACGGCGCCGGTTTGTATGGAATTTATTTTCACTGATCTTTGACGAGTTGAAAATAAAATACAGGAAAAAAAGTATATTCGCTGGATTTTATTCTAACTGAAGCATTCCTTCGGCGAAAATAGCGAAAAAAAGTTGCAAGCAAAAATAAAGTATTTTACAGTAACTATTTTTAGTGTGAACGTGGTATTTTATATTTATCTTGGTGTATACTTACATTAACTGATGAATACTCGGCCGAACACCGCCCGAATGGTTCCGACAAACGTTTGATTTCAACCTGACAATAAAGAATAAACACACTTTAGGAAATATAACAATTATCACGTGAAATGACGATAGTTTGAAGATGGTCGGTTTGGATTGGGTGCAATCACCTCCCAGAGTTCCTTTCGGTAGGAACCGAAAAGTATCTCTGTCACAATACACCGCCATTTTGCGGTGACTGGAAACGCCACAAGATTTTTTGATTACGTGTATTCCCAACGTGTTTTTGTTATTAGAGATTTTGTTAAAATATGTTTCAGATAGCTGGCAAACAAAGGGTGAAATAAATTAATTTCATCGTGAAATAACGGTTACTAAGGTGTTACTCGGTTCTTCAAGTTGACCGTCCCGTCGATTGTCAGACGAAGAAATACATGTATAAACAAACGTAAATAACAAATGAGCTTTTTATTTTGAAAAAATACAGAATCTACAAACATCGAGTGACTGTTACATTATTACCCGTTATATGAATGTTCATTGAACATAGGTTTTATGAGAATAAAGTAATATTTGCATACGGCATTTGCGTCACTTTCCTCGTCTTTGCAAATACCTACTGCACGATTGTTTCGCCTTAATTTTCAAAAAAACATTTATTTTTTGTTATTCTAAGGCGTTTTTATTTTGTTCTACATGTTGCACTAAACACTTTTTTTTCCTTAGAAATTGTTCCAGGCATTAGGCCGGCTTACCCGTTTTATTTCTTTACTCGTTGAGACTCCAGAGCGGGCATAAAACCAGTCTGTTTCCGGAGATGGCTTTACATCCGGGTCATGGATCAATACTTTCACACCGACTTCACCGCTAGTGAACAAACCAAGGTATTCGTCTTGCTCCAGGGACAACGTCAATTTCAATCCTGCGTTATAAACGTATCATTGAGTTATTAGCCGAATGAGCGAGAACCTTCGGTTTTCATCTGGTATGTACAACGACCCATTACGAGACAGAATACTTCCGGTTGTACATCTGATGTTTACATAATTTGCATGATAATGTTAACAATTTTGAAAAAAAAAACGTGATCTTCGGAACTTGTCAATAACATGTCGATGTTTTTAGCAAAACTAGCATGCGAACGGAACAAAACACAGCATCCCGGCGACATGGGGCCATCTATAACAACAATTTAGTTTATTTTGAATGGGGAAAGAAATCAACAATTCATACCGTTTTGAGTGCCCGCCACGTTGACGGGAGATGGGCTGTTGAACGTAAAGCAGTTTCCAAGTTTATTGTCCTGGAAGACTGTAAAATCACTGAAATAAAAAACAGCACTAATAGTGAGTTGACCATCTTGGAAGTGAGACGATTAAAAAACCATGAAAGCTGTTATTTGACTGCACGTTTTTAGTTTGGGGCAACATTTTTTTCAAGGTGATGTTTGAATATTGTTTTTGTGATATTAATGATATGTGAATGATTTTAATAAATCATTTTTTCTACAATTTACCCTGTAGTAATTCTCTTTCCCACAAAAAATCCCCATAAATCCACTTTTCCCGAGTTTCTACAATGCCTCGTTCCCTATATCTTAGAGGAGATTGCGTCGTTCAAATCTTCTAGTGGATGAGTATCCCGAAATTATCATCTATCATTATTTTCGAAAATTACAAGCCACACCAACCCAGTAACTGCTCAGTTAGCAAAATATTTTTACACACTCCCATTATGTCATACGCTGTAATATGCAATTACAATTCTGCCCCCCCCCCCACATAACTCTGGGTGGGGGAAATGTGAACTGCAACTATTCGCTTCTCGGTCGTAAACATTGTTAGGTGTTAGGTGTGTTACAGACATATGATGATGACGTATCCGAGAAAAGCGCCCTCCTACGGCGAGTCTACAACAATCAAAATAATATGGGCGAGTGTTAAGACACAGTCAAATTTTTTCTCTATTAAGTTTCCCCAACATTTGAAAAAAACATAATGACCCAACAAAATTAAATGTATATATTACCTATGTCCACACTTCCCTCCATTGTATTGACACTTTATCAGCATATCTTCAAATTGGTGACCCAAGGTCTTCAATTCTTCCGTGTTAAATTTCACCGTCTGCTCAATGACGTCATTCACGCGCGATGACCGACTTAATAACAGGGTATTAATTAGTGACAGTTTACCATCGTCGCCATAGACTGGTTCCCGATAAATGTTCTCACGAAAGTCTTCATAAAAATCATCCGAGTCGGTGAGATGCAAATAAGAATCTTCCCAGTTCGCCGAAAACAAATCGTTTGAACCTATGAAAAACATGTTTATATTTTGGATTCAGTTTGATGTGTCAGTCGAGTGGTGAGTAAAATGTCCGTATTAAGGAGGTTCAAATGGAACTGAAAGTATGTCATGTTAATTTTTCAATTGTTTATATGAGATTATTCCTTTATAACTCAAAATAAAATAATTATAAAAAGTTTTCTCCCATAATGCGAGCTAGCCTCTCTAGAGGGCGACGCCAGAGTCTATGACCCCCCCCCCCCAGCTGAAATGATTACAGTGCAAGACACCGACAGCCCTAAATCTTGGGAGGCTGGCACCTGGCAGTAATGCAAAATTTAAATTTGGTTCAACCAGTCACAACTCCATCGCCCTCGGCGTTGAAAACTGGATAGGGTAACTGCGCCAACAGCCTTATTATGGTGAATACGTACATGAACGAGGTACTTACCAATGTCGGGATAATCACAGTTATTTTCATCTTCTCCGTTTGTTCTGCAATGTTTTATTCTATCGCACACCAAGTCCGCAGGAACACAATAGGATGTATCCGATTCAAAGCAGGTCACTCCATCACTGCCACAATCTGAAATTAAGATAGAATCCTACTCATAATTATCGAGAAAGTTGGTATGGTAAATTGTATGGTCAATGATCATTAGTGTATTGTGTACAATCATATAGCTACTGTCCCAAGACACCGTAAAATAGCATTCTTTTGCGTGTTACAGTGTCGTATATTCAAAAACTTGTCTTATATAAATTTCCTATGTCACCTGACTACAATTGAAGAATATCTCTGCCATGATAGAAACCTATGGTTAAAACAGTTATAATACTGCCAAAATAGCCACTATCGACTAAAATATATAATCATTTTATAATATAATATAATCATTTTCACGAACATTAAGCTGGTGACCCCCAATCTCAATAATAAGTCAATATTCATATATTTATTGGTAAATCAATAAATTCTGGGTATTTGCATTCATAAGTAGGCATCTACCTTGATGACATAAATTAGAAAATTTGCATTTTTTTGTAAACTGAACAATTCCTTGTGTCGCAATGCAGCTAGGAAGGCGTAAGCAAAATTAAAAACCAGTGCGCCCTCAACATCCGCATTACCACAACAACTCTATCGCTTGGTACTCTGGGAGATCCACGAGCACCAGAATTCAGTATATTTGATACTTACCCTGGTCGTAATATGTGCAGTTTCGTTCGTCACTTCCATCTCCACAGTTGTCAAAATAGTCGCATTGCTGTACAGATGAAACGCATTCTGAATTATCGCACGCAAATACGGCGTCACCACCGTCGCAGTTCAGACGACTACCACCATACGGAATAACTACAAACAAAAACAAACGTATTGCAAACATATAAACACGCACGACGAGATTCGAACGACCACGGACATTTACTGTGCCTTAAATACAGAAAATCGAATGAATAGTGTACATTTAATAGAAAACAGGGTGCACGCACCGCCATTGCTAGTTATTGCCTAGGTTGACGCGCCGGTCACCGTCGTCACACATTGTCGTGTGCAATATGGGTCCCATGCCACGTGTACAACGCGTGTACTTTAATTTATTCATCGCTGTTTTCGCTGAAGGAAAGTGAATATCACCTTCTTAAAAAACAGCCAAAATGTATTTTTATCGAAAAATAATTCCAGATAAAATAAAGTATTATACAGTATCCTATATTACGATTTTACATGTGGCGTGCGAATAAGGCGCTTCGAATAGAGCATTATGGTGATTTTACACGTGATTCGAATGATGCAGACTATACGAGAATAAAATGTTAAATATGTTTTCCTTTTTGTGTGAAACTTGCACTGCCCTTGAACGTTGTCTCCTTAACTGCGCATGTGCGTATTCTTCAGTTCTATGGCTACGTCACTGGACCATATACTAGTAGTTCAATTCTAATGCAATCTATCTAGCGTATCTAGTACAAAATTAATCTGATTAAAATCCGATGTACTTTTTTTAATTCAATTTTATATAGTTTTATTGTTCTTTTTGTTTATTTAAACACTGTTATTTTGTTTTACTTGGAGTTATTATCTCAGTCGCCTTAATTGAAGCCTATACATAAATCGGATTTTAATCAAATTGGTATCAAATCCTAACAACAGGCAGTGAATTGCAATTGACCCAATAGCATAATAGTACTTCTGGTGTCATTTACTTTGAAACACACGTGAAGCATGTCCAGACAGTGAGGATGACGAACGTCTCTAATATCATCGCCTAAGTTTAACCCCACGACAAAGACTTCCGTTTTCGATATTGTGAAATTCTTTTCTTTTATGGGGAAAAATATAGTATTTTTACCAACTAAAATCATATTTATTAAAGTCATTGTTCATACACGAGTTGTTGAACACATTACATAATTTGTAATTTAATTCAGCTTCTTTCAGTCATAATGCAAGGTATAAAGAATAAAACGATGTTTTTTTCTATGATCGGTAATTATGAAAATTATCATATGCATATGGAATACATTTCGTTATTATGAATTATTTTTAATATATTTCTGAATTTTCCTGTCAAAATCAGTTTTTTTCGCCTAAAAAGAATTTCACAATATCCAGAACAGAAAAATTTACTGTAGTATTCTTTCCGCATTGTCCCATTTCTCACCTGTGTCACTTGCACAATTTATTTCGTCTTCGCCGTTCCTACATTCCTCAACACCATTGCATTGCATGTACCATTTGACACACTCGCCACCACACTCGAAGTCGCCACTCAAACACGGACCTGTGTCATAAACAAATAAAATGTAATTATATAATAGACAGAAAAATATCATCTAATAGTCTATTTACAGATGTCTGGTGCGCGCGATACTATATCGGAGTACGTCATCAACGTCCGAAGGCTCGTTCGAAGCTGGTTCTGATGCGCACGGTCACAGCTTAATATATACAGAACAGCGTCAAAATGTATATAATTTTCTCGATTTCGCCTGTCATAAAGTGGCGTGATAAATAAATATCTGGAAGACTATTGGTTTATCTGCTATTGCATGAATAGATATACTAGACGAGTACAAAAACATGGCGGACTTAAATACGTACTCTGACAAAAAACATCACGCGACTTTGAAACCAACAAATATTCTAATTGTGGTCGTATATGTTGCATTTTCATCAGTTGCAGTGTTGAGATGTCTTCCTCTCATGGAGTGAATTTTATTATTACTTCATTAAAACATTTGCTGGGGGAGTGCCATATGATATTTTAATTTTGCTTCGTCCAAAATGTTGTTTTCAAATGTGGTTAGTTGGTGCACCTGAATATCGTGAAACGAATGAGCCTACACATAGCTGATGTAATGGACCAGTCTGAGTCCAGCCCAGACTCTCCAATGACTATATCTGTACGGAAGCCATGTCTGAGGTACTCACCCATATATGGCACCAAGTGCGAGATAGGGCCCAGGCTGTCCAATAACAATAGCTGTATGTAAGCCATGTCTGACGAACTCACCCATATATGGCATCAAGTGCGAGATAGGGCCCAGGCTGTCCAATAACAATAGCTGTATGTAAGCCATGTCTGACGAACTCACCCATATATGGCATCAAGTGCGAGATAACGCCCAGACTAGCCAATGACAATAGCTGTATGGGAGCCGTGTCTGACGTACCCACCCATATATGGCATCAAGTGCGAGATAGGGCCCAGACTGTCCAATAACAATAGCTGTATGTAAGCCATGTCTGACGTACTCACCCATATATGGCATCAAGTGCGAGATAAAGCCCAGACTAGCCAATGACAATAGCTGTATGTAAGCCGTGTCTGACGTACTCACCCATATATGGCACCAAGTGCGAGATAGGGCCCAGACTGTCCAATAACAATAGCTGTATGTAAGCCATGCCTGACGTACTCATCCATATATGGCATCAAGTGCAATATAGCCCAGACTGTCCAATAACAATAGCTGTACGGGAGCTATGCCTGACGAACTCACCCATATATGGCATCAAGTGCGAGATAAAGCTCAGACTCTCCAATGACTATATCTGTACGAGAGCCATGTCTGACGTACTCACCCGTATATGGCATCAAGTGCGAGATAGAGCCCAGACTGTCCAATAACAATAGCTGTATGTAAGCCATGTCTGACGTACTCACCCATATATGGCATCAAGTGCGAGATAGAGCCCAGACTGTCCAATAACAATAGCTGTATGTAAGCCATGTCTGACGTACTCACCCATATATGGCATCAAGTGCGAAATAGAGCCCAGACTGTCCAATAACAATAGCTGTATGTAAGCCATGTCTGACGTACTCACCCATATATGGCATCAAATGCAAAATAGAGCCCAGACTGTCCAATAACAATAGCTGTACGGGAGCTATGCCTGATGAACTCACCCATATATGGCATCAAGTGTGAAATAGAGCCCAGACTGTCCAATATCAAAAGCTGTATGGGAGCCATGTCTGACGTACTCACCCATATATGGCATCAAGTGCGAAATAGAGCCCAGACTATCCAATGACAATAGTTGCTCGTACTGGCTGTTAGCTACAGCAGACCTGCGTAATCTATTCACATTACAAACTGTAACAGATGGGAATGGTGCTTGTTCTCTTGTTACCATGACAACTTCAGTGCGACTTGGATAGCTAAGGTATGTCGTAACGATGAACACAATTTCAATAAGCGAAATAAGCGCAATGATGACCAAGAATACAGTCCAGAGTGCCCTGTAAAAGTGGTGAAAATGGTGGAATTTTCGTTCTCCGATGGCCATCTTGAAAACTATTTTTTCGCCTTTATAGCTGAAAAATATAAATATTACGTCATTCAGTATGTTAAAAATAAAGATGGTACCAAATTATGAATTATGTTCAAAATGTTACGGAATGTGATGTATCGGGGGATATCTTTAAAAAAGCAGTCCTACTACGATTAAACACGTTCCATGGCCGAATGAGGGCGCTGTAACGACCCAAAGTTCAGGGTCTCAGTTTGGAAAACCGATTTTATCGGAAAGTGATGATTGTAGAATACTTCAAATATGCTGACGGTATCGGCGATAACGTGCGTCACTGTGGATAACGAAAACATTCCCTACGGTATGAAGTGTTTTTCGATAGAGCGAGACCCACATAAGAGATTCATGAGTTACATTGATAACAGTACATGTAATTAATACTTTCATGAATCTTGTCGTGGTCTGATACATAGAAATGCCGCGACTTAGCAGAACGAACTTCTTATGGCATGACCCCCCGTGACCTCGTCACAGGGATGAAATCATCCTTCTCTATTGGATAATTTATGGTCACGTGATAAGCACGTCACAGATACGACCATTGTTCCTACAAAACATTCCAGATAGTGCCAAAATTAATGACGTCACATTTTCCTTCATGTTATTATTCAAGAAGACGGTCGAGAAACAATAAAAACTTAAACGCGTATTTCAGAGGTGTTGTACTTTGTTGGTCTTATTCGCGACGTAATTTATTAAAACCCAAGTGTAATTGTCTGATTCACAAATGACCGGGTCGAGTTACTGCTTTATGAAAGGCACTTAACGATTGGACAATATCACGATTGATATGTGCTATTTTGCTTCGGGTTGTATTTAGAGATTTACTAAACTTTTGTAATAATCTTTTAACTGGTTGCCATAGTGTTAGATCCAAAATAGCTCAGGGCAACTCGCCCGATAGAATAGCACATACACACGATGTTTTGATGTCTCGAGCTTTGATCAAATGAGCCTGCGAAAGGGCCAGTTTCAGCATTCGGTTATCAGATTACATTTTGCAAGTATGTGAAATTTCACCCCCGAACTGAGCTAAAACCATAATATATGTTACAATTATGCTGTTTCAGTTAAAAAACGTAGGATATATTAAAGTTATATATCCTGGCTCCATTTCCCGCTTATTTTATTTTAGATTTGCTAATAGTAACCTCTGATGGGTGTTGATTATTGATCACTGTGGCAAACGTGCGTATATCCTACTTCTAGTGATAAATTATGTAAATCCAAACGCTTTTTTCGCCACATGTTCTGAAGTAGCGTCGGACATATTTATTTAAAGGGCGGTGGTCGTCGCGCCACGCATGCGCGAGAAATGGGACTCATATGAACAAAGATGGCGACTTTCACTGTTGCACAGTCCAACGAGTACAAACTGAGACGTTAATCAGCTTTAACCACGTAATTTCTTTGGTGATTGGAAGGCATCAAAGGGGTTACCGGTGGTAATTAGCGCACGTTGCGCCCAGGTCAAACACCTACTACTACATTAGAATAGCGCATTGGATTGTTGAAAAATCAATGTTTATACGCAAATGTCGCACATGCGCGGCGCGACGACTTCCGCCCTTTAATTTCCAAATCCCAAATTTGTACAGCGCGCGTTGAAATTTCAGATCAGTTTGGATGATGTTTCCTGTTCGCATGGGACCTATGATGAACATGACGCGACTCGACGACGACAGCCATTGTATCGTACATTCGCAAATCAAATATCCTATCACACTTTCTGACACTAGTTGATTTTGTACGATCCCCGCTCCAATGGAACATACATGTATCCAACACCATATTCGAGGTCGCCGTTTCTTGCCGAGCCTCGGCTACGCCTCTACGCGATGCAATTTGTTTACTTATCCGGACAGAGAGTTAAACACGTCCCTATTATATAGGTAGCGTATACACGCAATCGTTTGAACAATAGTCAATCATGTGAACTTGACAATAATTGGTAGATAATAAAGTTCAGCAATTATTTCGAATTTTCGGGGCAATTAAATTCTTTTACCGTGAAATTTGGTCGTGATATGGCAATGACGACCTTGAACAGTTTCGTGTAAATAGTCTATGACCACGAAATGGTCAAAGCAACCGCCACGACAACATCGTCTATTTTTAACGGGTTATCGTGAACAAATAACATGCTGGCACTTTCTCTTTAATAGCATGAAGGTTGTCTCCATGCTCATCGCGGCGACGTACGGTCTGTTAACGTGCCAGGAATAACAACACGTATAAACATGGCAAATATACTTGAAAGTGGAATACAGTTGCAGCACAGGCATCCATTGCAGTTTAGGCTGTCATTCCGAAAATTACTATCAGCGAACCGATACCAGTACCCGTTGACGAGCGATGACTGAGTCGAATTGTTTACATACATGCAAGTCTGTATTAAATCACGTGACGTCGGCCGCCCGCTTGTATGGGTACGGATCATGTAAAACAACTACATGACTACGATAACGGAACGAGTTCCTTTTGCACCCCATCCCTAACCTTCACCTGAACCCTCCGATTCATTTGTGTATTTCCCCCTTTAAATAACTATTGGCGTTCTTAGGTGGGGCATTCACAATTAAATTGGAGGTGCTGAACGGTAGGGGTGGGATTATAGTTGGGGTTAGGGGGTGAGCGCAAATGCAACTCTTTCCGCGATAACTTACCCAAACTTGTGACCGAAGTGAAATTACCAATACGTTTAACTCTCGATAGCTGAACCAAATGGATCACACTTGCAACTGCAGTGTGTCCTTCAAACGACCGGGCGACTAACTCACTTAAGTATTCTGTTTGCATATGAATATAAAAACCACCTTTGCCATGCAAAACAACGTCTGAAAATAGATTACGATGTCGCGTTTGTTGTTCACATTGCGCCACTTCACCCATGGGTAATTTGTATAGCAGCGCCACATTCGGTATGCAAACCCCGTAAACAAGAGTGCGCTGACCTCTACAGTGGTCGTAATAGGCTGAATAATGGATATGTGGTGAGGAAGATGAGCAAAGAGACAAGTATTCATGACCACAGTGTGGTTTTAATGGATTTTATTCGTCTCGAATAATGTTCGTAAAGGCACCACGTGCAAAAAAAAAAAAAAATACAATTTACATTTTGCAATTATGACTTTTCACGTTTCACAGCCACACTAAAGCAAATGACAGTTTTTTTTATTTATATACTCAAACATGGCACTATTCATGACATATTAAAAGCTGACCACTGTTTACCCACAACTTACCCATTTTATTACACATACGGTATATACCACAAGTAACATGTAGATGGACATTGTTTCCCAAAACGGGGACAATAACGTCACAGATGCGAATACAGGTTAGTATGACGTATGTCACAGAGGGACATTTTGTTAACACAAATAAATGAGGACAATGTCCGACTTTTAAAAAAAGGGTAGACATAGGATACAATTAGACTGGTCCAGTTGTGGCGACTTTTTCAGAGTAATTATAATAATAACAAACTTGGAGAAAAAAAAGTTTTGCGAAATTTGGGGTGAACGCGAGAAATTCGCGGTTTCACGGGATTTCACGTTAACACCTACAATTCGAGATATTTTTATTTAATTTAAAACTTTAAAAAGAAATGAATCGCCAATACTGTGAATATATCAAGGGTGGCACAGCAATCGGGATCCCAATATAATTATTATTTACAAAGTTACTGTTGTCTCCTTGCAGTTGTACATGTTGAGGAATGATTTCAGGTGATGACAGGTGATTTCAAGTTTTTGGCGCCAACGGCTGTCACCTCACTTTCTTTCGTCTGTGCCTGTCACCCCAAGAAACTTAACAAGTACTGCTCCCGGGGTGATTCTTAGGCTTAAAGAAAATATTTGGTGATTTTCAAGGATTGCAACTGCGTATTCAGAGGCGGGTTTTGAATGTAGACCGACCACTTTCCAGACTGCGAACAGAAAAGGTAGACATACACACTCTGTGGCTCGAAAAACTTCGGACCACTAATAATGGTCTAAGAAAAAACTGAGCTTAACAGGCCACACAAATATGGAAGTAGCTTCCGGACTTCGAACCTAACCCAATCGGCAGTTGTTCGGTAAATAATGGGCGAAGAACTCACATATCACAATTCAAATCTATTAGCTTATACTAGATACAATATAAGATGCATTCTTCATACATATAGTAACACGCGTGTCCGTTTGCAATCCCCGGATGATGATGATAATGTGTCCGTTTACAATCTTCATGTAATAGCATGTCCAATCACAACTTTCGTCTTATAACACGTGTGGCATTTTATAATCTCCAACCAATGTGTCCGTTTACAACCTCCAAATCATAAAAAAAATATGGCCACTTACCATTTTCATACATTCAACAAATGTTCCATCTACGACCTCTGTATAATACACGTGTCCGTTTACAAGCTTCATACAATAACACGTATTCTCGTTTACAATCTGTGTCTACCTCTGTATAATACACGTGTCCGTTTACAATTTTCATACAATAACACGTATGCTCGTTTAGAATCTGTGTCTACATCTATATAATAGACGTGTTCGTTTACAATTTTCATACAATAACACGTATGCTCGTTTAGAATCTGTGTCTACCTCTATATAATACACGTGTCCGTTTACAATCTTCATACAATAACACGTATGCTCGTTTAGAATCTGTGTCTACCTCTATATAATAGACGTGTTCGTTTACAATTTTCATACAATAACACGTATGCTCGTTTAGAATCTGTGTCTACATCTATATAATAGACGTGTTCGTTTACAATTTTCATACAATAACACGTATGCTCGTTTAGAATCTGTGTCTACCTCCATATAATACACGTGTCCTGGCGTTTACAATATTCATGTATTTCGTCACCTGTGCATGCCAACATGCGTGTCATTGTTTACAAACAAGCGTCTACCCTTGAGCTTTTGCGTTTTAGCGTATGTTGTTATCGTCGCTTGGGACTCAATTCCCACGCGTGCGCAGGTGACGACCCTCTCGCTTTACCAATGTGAGCAAATGACTGGTAAATGTTGTATACATGTTTATAAATAATCCAGACACAATATAAATAAGTTTGTAGTTAGTCTGTTCGATCTATGGCGGTACTTGAACGCTTGGACATATATACTCTACCGTGATAGACCACAAACTACACGCTTATAAAACTAAGAGTTATGTATCTGGTCAGTGTGCGCACCACCAAAAAAAATGGGGGCCGATCTGTTTTTTCTCCTACTGTAAACTAGTTAATATTAGCTAGAATTAATTTTCACTGAAAAGTGTTTTTTTTTTTGGAAATTTATTTTTACAAAATGTTGATGAGTTCAATATAGAAAACATATTAAATTCGCTGGATTTTACTTTCATTAAATCATCTCCTTAGCGAAAATGAATTCTAAGCAGAAATAAAGTATTTTACAGTAATTTGTCACCACACAGCGCCCTCTGTTTACGAATTGATCAAACTTACAAAGTATGTATCTTGTCAAATACATGTATAGACGTCGGGACTTCTTTATTGTTTTTTTAAAAAGTCCCGACTTTTCCAGTCTACATCGAACATTTTTGTAAATAAATAAAATACATAAACAAGAAATTTGAAAAGAAACACAATTATTACAATGATTATTATTATTTTTAATAACGTAAAATGATTGCAACAAATTCTCGACTGTCCACATTTTTGATTGGACAATAAAAACGTTGTTCATTTCTCGTAAACCAATCACAATGCTATACGGGGTCGCAGGTCAAAGAGTAACAACACAAAATAAACGAACGGTATTGTCATAATGGTCGTAGAAGGCAGTAATCACAGAAAGGTTAGAGGTCGCCATCATTGACACGCGTGCGTTGCAGTCTCCGGTTTTATCGGTTTGCACCGTAGTTTCGTCATTCTCGTTGTAGATCTAACGTCTGGCGAAGTCTGTGAGCGATGGAAGTGGAAAAAGTAGAGGTCCCAGCGCCACTAGGGTAAGTATGCAATCAGACAGAAGAGTTGTATTGAGTCGTGGAAGTGTTTTTAATTTCCATTGAAAGAGGTATCCAGACAACAGCATATGGCTCTAGCTGCAGTTCTGCACGACCCCGGTAGTAGCTCTCGGTGTAATTTCGCGATCACCCCACGACGGAAGAAGTAGCTCTACTGACGAAAAAACTTAACTACAGCGAATCAAAGAGATCAACGGAAATGCATCTGACTGTAAACGTAGAGTGTGTGTTTCGAAAAATAACATGACAAGGAGACTGAATAAGGGATTCACTCATTCTGTGGGAATCGCCTTTAAATTTTTTATTTGTTTGTGATCTGAAACTGAAAGTGTTGTCAAGATGTGTATACATATTATCAATACATCAAAACAAGGTTGCTAACTTGTATTGATAAACTGGAAAAAAAGAAAGCTTTGTTTTTAACAAATCAAACAGTTACATGTACATTCCTTTTCAAGACAACTAAACATGACACATTAACAGCAGTCATTTTTTTAGATCTAATAGCGATACCGGGGGAATAGTAAATTCAAAATTGTCATCTGCTACTATAATAGTTTGCTATGGAATACTTGGTATTTACTGTTGTTGTTCGTTTTCGTTACATTCTACATGAATAGAAAGACATTTATTTTTGTACATTTTTCTCATAAAACTGTATAATATAGACTGAGAGGAATCATATCTATTCTGTGTAGATAACATCAAATGTATCAGAAATTACTAAAATACCATCACAAAAAATAAAGGCTAACACAAGAAGAGCTATTAACCCCTTACCCACAGTCAATTATATCAGTCCTTGAGCCTTACATTTTAGGGTGATGAAATCTCAACAATATCTCATAATGTGTCTTTCACAAAGTATGTGAAATCACCTATAGAATAGAATAGAATAGAATAGGTAGGATCTCTATATACCCAGTTCATCGGTAATCGTTAAACTTTCTTATTACATTATAGCGCTGATGGGAAGCCAATTTCAAAAAAAGCGTTAAAAAAACAACAAAAAGAAGCAGAAAAAGCTGCAAAGAAAGCTGAGAGAGCTTCTGCTGCTGTAAGTATTGTTACTATCCTGATTTATATCATAATGAAACTTGTAATATCATTAATATTCAGTTCACATCACAAAGACAGAAGGGGTTCGTCCAGACATAGGACCAGGGGCCCAGTGCCTTCATATCACAGACTTGTGCTTTCTTACCTAAAGACTAAACAGTTCATAATGTCTTAATTTCTGAGGTTTCAGGACTTAAAATTACTCACTTCAGGGGTGTGCTAGAAAAAAACATGCAATTTGTTCTCAGAAATAATTATTCAGTAAATTATTATATTGATGTGATGAAAATAATAGACGTATGATGCTGTTACTGATAATATCTAGCAATACTATGTAACATGGTATTTATTGGTCATGCACATATGACAACTTCTTTAATCCTAATCTTACCAAATATAAAATCTCTGAGGGGCTAGTATAATTACACCCAGTGATCAATGTTAAAGTTTTGTTTAATTCATGAATTGTGGGATTATCTATTTGAAGATTTGCTCAAATTACTTCTTGTTGTTACTTCGAAACACCTTTCAAGAATATTGGCAAATGAAATATCAAAGAAACATTTAGATGAGAAGCTGAAATGCAGACATGATGGAAATCACTGAAACATGGTTTCCTGCACACAAATACCATGATTCAGGGAAAATGTTGTAGCTGTAAAAATTTCCCGGGGCTATGTGACTTTTACACAATTTTGTCATATTGTTTAATTTTCTAGCAGTGATGATGTAGTGTTTTAAAATTTTGTGTCTTCCACTAGGCTGCTGCGGCTGCCGAGAAAGAAAACCAGGAAGTGGACTATTCAGCCAATAAATATGCAGTATCTCCAATGATTCAGTCACAGCATAAAATGGGTATGAGTCACTTGCATTGGACTACTTACTAGAGTTATTCTGATTGGCTAATCAAGCCTAACTAATAACTGACAAACCAATCAGAGAAGATCTCTCTCACTCACTTACTTGTAACCATAGTGTATCGTAACCATGGTTATAGTTTTTTTCTCCATTTAACAAATCTGAACTCCCATTTCTGAACAATTTTGATCAAAATCTGTGAGCTTTGTTATCTTCTTTTTGATTTGTACACAATTGATTTTGAAATTACTGAATTTGTTGTTTGAAATTTAGATTTTCAAAATGAATAGTGATGGATTCTTTCAATGTTCATCCTGCAGATCGTGTAATGTTAAAGATTAAAGACTTGAACTCTACCCTAGCTGAGAAACGAGTCTGGTTACGAGCAAGGATACATACGAGCAGAAGTAAAGGTACGTGAACTCACACCGCTATAGTGAATAAAACAGTTTTTCATGCAAATCATACAAAATGCATTATCATTGTTCACAAAAACTAGTCTGGTTCAAAAAAAATTTTAATCCTAGACAGAAAATTTAAAAACATAATTTTCTCCAAGAAATGCTATGACATTTTTGTTTAATTTTTTTTGGCAGGATGTGTGTGATAAAAAAATAAGTGTTGTCCACTATTGTACCAGTGCAATAATAGACAATTATAGGAGACTGTATTTAACTTTATTTTCATCCTGGGATGTAGCGTTTATGTGTATCGAGATATACCAGACAAAATGTGATCATTTTTCAATTGTAGGCAAGCAGTGTTTTGTGGTTCTACGTCAGCAAAGCTACAATGTGCAAGGCCTTGTAGCAGTCAGTCAGGTGGTCAGTAAAGCAATGGTCAAGTTTGCAGCCAAGTAAGTATTCACTTTTAACAAAGTTGAATGTCTAACACTGGCTAATAGGGCATTATCAAAGTTTTGATAAAAATGTGGAAAAAAGTTATGTGTGTTTTATTTTGTGAGTGGCCACAAAAGTAGATATTCATGCTCAAAGGATTGCTGCATTATAGTCATGGTATTTATGATAGTAATTCTATTTCAGCATTACCAAGGAGTCGATAGTTGATGTCGAAGGCATAGTGAAAGAAGCTAAAGTTGAAAGTTGTTCACAGAAAGACGTTGAAATACTTATAGAGCAAGTAAGTATTAAGTACGGTTGAGTGGTATGACACGCTTGATTTTTTTTCCAAAATTGATCCCACAAATATAAAATATTAAATGCTTGAATGTTTAATTAACAAATTGTAACGAAATAAATTAAATATTTGTGTACATGTATTGTGATCTTGGATTTCAGATGATGCTTTAACTTTGTTCGTTCGTACACCTTTGGTCACAATTCACAAAATACAGACAAATTTGAAAAATGTTGTGGCAAAATTATGGCAGAAAATTTTATGATCATCAGACTATTTATAAATATTTTGCTGAGACACTATTCTACCTTTTGATATTATAATACATGTAATTGATTATCATAAAATTATTGTTTCATTGTATCATTTTTTTTCTTCATCATTATAGAATGAAAAATAAAGAACATTAGATTTAACAAACAAACTTTATGTTAATAATTGTAAAAACAGGACTTTATCATTTTGTTGCTGTGAGTATACACTGCTAATATTATCCAATCATATTTTGCAGTTGTACGTTGTCAGTGCGTCTGAACCTCAATTACCTTTACAATTAGATGATGCCGTGCGGCCGGCAACTGAAGATGACGAAAGTAGACCAACAGTGCATCAAGATACCAGACTGGATAATCGTATAATTGATCTCAGGGTAAGTGTAAACGTATGTAATTGCATACAATATATTTCACTCTCTGATTATTGGCATTTGTTTATATCATTTGCCCACTGTTTGATGTGTAGAAGTCAGTGTATGTTTCCATGGACAGCAAAATACGGTAAAAAAAGCGACATGCAATTTTAGCGAATTGAGGTAAAATGACGTAATAGCAAAATGTTGATTTAGCGAATCTTTCTTGTCATTGTTGATTTCCTGTTTTCACAATACTTGTCTGTCTCGTGCCAAAACAAATGCGCAGTTATCACCTCCATAAAAACAAAGAAAAACTATACATCAGTATCACTTCATTTATTTATTTTCATTGAAATAATGACCACAATGAATACGTTTATTTTTTTGTGTTAATTTACTTTTCAATAAAGGGTATCTATCATGTCAGTACGTTTTCTTTGTGTTGTTTACAAAGTGTGTGTGGAGAAAAAAGACGTTGTTTGGTGGCCATTTTGAATTTATAATAAAGTCATTAGCGACATCTTGAATTAGTGAATCAGTTCTCTCACTAAATTCGCTAAAAAGATATGCTCACCAAAAAAACATGTTTTTCAGTACTCAGAAAGTTTGTATAGCTATGTATCGTATTATGATGTGAAAGTGAAGGTATGTAATTGTAATAATACATACAAGTTCTAAGCAACGCAGATCAATGCAGTCTTAATAAGATGAGATAATTAGATAAGATGTTAACCATTATAAACTCTGCACAGAGAAAAAAAAAGAAAAAAAAATGGAAAAAAATCCCATACATGTTTAATAAAGAAGAAAAATTATGGAGATATTTGTAATCATCTTAAAAAAATCTAGCCCAAAGCTAAGTCAAGGAAAAAAATAATAGCACAGAAGCTCCAGAAGTTTCTACAATGTGTGACAGAAAGTCATGGTCCTTATAACAATTTTATTAATTCAAAATGGCTTTTAGGATTCCAATTGGCCAATCCAGCAATAGTGTTGTGAGATCATAGTAAGTATATATGAATATTCATGAGTTACATTAATGTCATCCAATCAGCAGAACCTTTAATTTGAATACTAGTGTGAACAAACTTTCAGCACTATGCTAATCTTTTAACTATGAGTACTATGCTAAATCCTGCAGTCATTATTTTTATGTTTTTTTGTTTGTTTTTTATCCTTTTCATCCCACACCGGGACATAAGGCTGCAATCAGGTTCTTCCATTCCTGTCTATCCTTGGCCAATATTTCTGCACTACTCCAGGTCAGGTTTGCTTGGGCAAGTTCTGTGGTAATGGTTCTTCTCCATGTGGTTTTTGGCCTCCTTCTGTTTCGTTGACCCTGTGGTGTCCAGCGAAATGCTGTTTTGGGGATTGAGTCTTGTGGCATTCTAAGAACATGGCCCAACCATCTCAGTCTTCGGCTCTTAATTTCAATAATAATGTCCTTTGAATGTGTTTGCCAATAGAGATTTTCATTGGATATGATCACTGGCCAGAATATTTTGCAAATTATCCTATTTTTATGTATATTTTGACAAATGTTTGCATTTATTTCAGACCTCTACAAGTCAAGCTATATTTCGTTTGGAAGCGTCTGTTTGTCAGTTATTTCGAGAAGTATTAATGAAGCAAGGATTTGTTGAAATTCACACTCCTAAAATGATTGGCGGTAAGTATCTGCTCACTGCTGGGGACTTAACTTATTGTCATCTTATTATGCAAATTGCCCCACTGTTTTACATAAAGGCTCAGTTCCCTGCAGAGGTCAAACCAAGTTGAAAGAGTCTGTGTGGCAATAATAGTGATTCAGGAAAGGGTTTTCAAAATATATAATTGTTATGTCATAACAGCACAGATCAGTGGTTGGGCAGAGTTGATCTCGTACACATATTGATATTTGTTGACACAAGATGAATCTTTATGAGCAATAAAATAAGGACAATAATTCATATAAAATTAAATTTAAAAAAAAAAAACATGGACATCATGTTGATAGTTAACAAGTCAGACTCACTTCCTGTGTGACCCCACTGTTACAATAACAATTAGTAGAGCTACATATGCAGATGGAATTCATATTTGAACTTCATTGGTAGTAAGGCCCGACTTTTATTATCCCTTGTTTCGAGAACCCGCCGAATGAACAGGAACCGAAAATGAAATCAAAATAAAATTTTATTTCAGCGTAATTTCTCGTACCCGCCAACTTGAAAGCGCAAAAAATTGCTAAAAAAATATTATTTTTATCTTAATTTTTTTTTACACCCGCTGCATAAAAAATCCAAGTTGCATTTTCGTGGGAGTATCATGATCAAAGTACCGAAGTCTCGCGCAGATGAGAAACAAGGTTATACATGGAATAAATTTTTATTTCATTTATCCTTTCTGATCAATGATCTCACTTACAATTCTTTGAGAATCACACAAATCTAATGGGAAAAAAAGAATTAATTTTATTTTTTTCCGCCCTCCTCAAAAAAATTGCCTTAAAAAAACTCGAGAAACAAGGAATAAAAAAAGTGTGACCTAATCCCTATTCTATGAGTTGTAGTCACTTTTGTCTCACTTGACAATGACATTGAAAAAGTATTTGTTTCGTGCAATTCAATGGTTTTTGAATTAATGATCAGTTAAACACACATTTAAATTGTACTTCTGTATCTAACTTATCAGACTTGTATTGAGTGCGACTCGATCATCACAGTGACTGCTGCATTAAAGAGCGACGGTCTTCGCGCTGCGCATGTGCAACATATGTGTTGATAAACATTGATTTTCCCACAATCCAATGCATTTTTTAATGAAATCACTTGCACTAATTACCGCCAACGACTCTTTCGATGCCTTCATAAACACCAAAAAATACTTGGTAACGTCTCAGTAACAGTCTTTGTTTATACGAGACCCATATCTCGCACATTTGTGGTGTGACGACTACCACCCTTTAATATATATTGTAAAATACTTTATTCTCGCTTGGAATTTATTTTTGCTGAAGCGATGATTCCGTGAAAATAAAATCCAGCGAATATACTTTTTTTCCTATATTTCACATTAAACTCATCAAACATCAGTGAAAATAAATTCCATAGAAAACAACCAAAAAGCCTTTACAGCAAAAATTAATTAATTAATATTTTTCAATCTCAGCTGCTAGTGAAGGTGGTGCTAATGTGTTTACTGTTAGTTACTTCAAGACTAAAGCGTATTTAGCACAATCACCACAGCTGTATAAGCAGATGGTTTTAGCGGCTGATTTTGACCGTGTCTGGTCGATAGGCTCAGGTAAGTGTGTATCACCATTATTTCCCATTGTGTAGCCATTCACAAGTCATGCCAAGGGTGGATAATCAAGGGCTTGCAGATCGTGTAGCATGTTATTGCATGAACTTTGTTCTGTACTGTACTATCTGCTCTTACATACCGGTACCTAAATTACAGAGGTGTTTCTATTGTCAAAATAAGTAATATTTTAATGAAACAGTATACGACAAATGCAACTTTTAGTTTATATGCACTTACCACACATTATATTCGCTATATTAGACACACTTGCACAGTAGAAAACAACATATTCAATTCCAACAGATCATACATGTAATTCCACATTGCGTTACCAGAATGCCTTCGGGAATTCCCCTAGAATTACGTCCATACAACACAGCAATTTTATTGGTTAATAACAGGCTAATAACACATTCAGCATTGTTCGGTTTACAACATTCTACCTACAATCGTGGGATTTAGAATTGTAAACGTACTCTGACATGTACAGTTTACTTCCCATAAGTCATTGCACCGCATTATGTCGGAATAAGACCCTTGTGACATATGTGAACACATCATGTGTCAAATACATTGTTTATTTTAAATACTAGAATTTTGAAAAGCGTCATGAGCGGGAAATTTTAATTGGTGTGACGTTAAACTACTGTGAATCATAACATTTTTTCCTCAACACAATTTTGGTGCAACATTTTATGTATTTTTCTCAAATTTATTCGATAATTTTGAACCAAATACAGCAAATAATTTTATGTTGCCTGTAAGTATATATCAAAATTTTCGAAAAGAAAAAAATATTTCTGACTACTTTTCTACAAATTTGTCTTTCATTATTGAAAGCACTCCAAAAATAATTTGTTTTGTTTTTCAGTATTCCGTGCAGAAGACTCTAATACTCATCGGCATCTTACAGAATTCATCGGACTGGATTTAGAAATGACGTTTTATTATCACTACCATGAGGTATAAACTGTTAATTTTATATTATCATAATTCACCATGGCTTTTATGATTCGATACAACTCCCGATGAACAAACTATAAGTACAAGATCAGATTAATGCTTCACATAGATATGTGCATAATATTAAACCTAATTAGCTTATTCTTTTGTAATGTAAAATTTAAGATACAAATACTAATAATATGATGTTATTATGAGGATATCATAAAGTATGCACGCAGGCAGCACAGCAAGAGTATCGACTCCTCCCAAAGATATATCATGGGAATGCCGAAATCCCAAAAGTTTACAACAGATTTAGCGAACATCTTTGTGTGGGGTCCGGTCAAACTTCGGGCTAGGTGCTGCTATGTTTTTTATTATTAATAGAGGATGCTTACACACATAATCATTCCATATTTGGAATTCGCTTTTCCTAATATGGTAGGATAAATATACCCCATAAAATACCGCAAAATTATGGCACGCTGTAAGGTGACAGATGTATAATAATGCATATTATTATTGAAAGCAAATCTATTGTTTAAAAAATGCTATATCTGCACTGATTCCAATTTTCAAGTTTTATTTTACAGTACTCTACATCACACTAACATTGAATGTGTTAACTTTCCTTTGCTATGTGTTAGTTGATACAATCTCCTCCGTTCATACATTGTGGTTTTCCCTTGATAACCTTACATGATAAAATATACAGTTAATTCAAGTTTCTTGTTAAGTTCTTGCTGGACTTTATTGTGATATATCTCCAGGTTGCCTGCCCTTAACTCATCTACCTTTTGATTTCAGGTGGTTGATTTGATTGGTGATATGTTTGTTCAAATATTCAGAGGACTACAGGAACGATGCAAAGAAGAGATTGATGTGGTCAATAAACAATATCCAATGGAACCATTCAAATTTCTAGATCCTTCATTGAGACTAGAATATCATGAAGGTACTTCTGGGGGAGGGGTATTGTTCTATAAAGATCGTACATCATGGTACTTCTGGGAAGGAAGTATTGTTTTATAAAGGTTGTATATCCTGGTATTTTGGGGGTATTGTTCTATAATGGCAATAATTTGCAATACCTCAAGTGTTGCTGTGTAAGGTTCTGAAATAAATAGGAAGTTAAAGGATGAGCTAATTGTGACATTCTTTTTTTGGGGGGGGGGGGAACGACAAGCATAATTGGGTTACCGAAGTAACACTCTTAGAAGGGTGTGGGTAGAAAAATCGTGTCAGATGTATTCTAATTTACAGGGTGGTTACAAATCATTTCTTACTGAAACATTGTGTGATTATTTACTAATTGCATTTCATTTTTATTCTTTATTTGGACTAAGCAAATGAATTATTATTAATTAATTTATTCCAGAATAATTTCTTGGACATTGCCCAATTTCTGTTGTCCAACTTATTACAAAGACAATTTTGAAAGAATTCATACATACAAGTTCATTTTTTTATTTGATGAAATATGGCCAACAGATGGCCATTATTGAACTGTTTCCCGTAAGATAACTTGGCCGAAGTAAAAATAGGTACTCATAACGATACAATACATATGGGGTTTTAAGTGCATGTTATTTTTTGACTTTTAATTTTTGTTCAAGAAATATTGCTTCTAAACTCAGTTTAGTTATGTAATTTAGTTTATGTAGTGTTACCATAGTTACGCAATAGTATATCACTGGTGGCATTGTGATTGTTGTATCAGACTTGCTAAACTATGTTAAAATAATTATTGAAGTTTAAAACAAAAAAAGTGGTGATAGTTTCCTTGTATTTTTGGTTAATAATATATAAAAAACTCAATGAGGTGGCCAAGGTCTCTGGCTGATATTCAGCCACTAACACATATCTTAGGCTCCATTCGTTGTAAAAGTCTGTAGATATTTGACTGGCAGGGTTGGCAGCAGAAATTGATAGGAAGACCACACAGGCCCTGGCCTTTGTGGCAAAATATCGTCAGCATTTTGCAAACAAAAACAGTAACCTTCACTTTTGGGAATTGTTGCCTGGTATAAAACATTTAGTTGTTCAGTATTTAGTAATAAACTGTCAACAAATTTACACTAACTTACTAAATGATGGATGACATTTGTGCAAATAACATTTTGAGGACATGTTTTCTGATCCTTTATAAAGTCTGGCATTGTCTGATCTCTACTGATTTTACATTATTTTTTTTTTTAAATCAAATATCAATTTTTGCTTTTTAAGGAATCCGAATGTTAAAAGAAGCAGGATTTGATATAGGATTTCAAGACGATCTCAGGTGAGTCGTTTGAGTCACACAAACACACACGAAAAAAGAAAAACGAATTTGATGTGTATGATTTTTTTTAATTGTTAATCATCCTATTTTTACTTTAATTTCCATAAAAGTTAGAATTTTTAAATTATTTTTAAAAATAAAACAAAAAATCATAAACATGTTTAACTGGCAAGCATGATGGCCAGAAAGATGAATATTTTGTTTCTGGGCTTTATATTCATACAGTTGGTAAATCCTGGAATATGCCCTCTATAGTTAATATATTCAAATTCTTTCTTTCGATCTAACTTAGCATATTTTATGTATTTCAAGCACGCCTGCTGAGAAGTTACTTGGTAAACTGGTCAAGGCAAAATATGATACTGACTTCTTTATATTAGATAAATATCCTCTGGAGGTGCGGCCATTCTACACCATGCCTGATCCCAATGACCCAGTAAGTATTATAGAGCGCCCTCTATAGTTCAAGTACAGAGCACAAGCTTCTCTTGCTGGTCAAACACTCCATATACAGCGAGGCACTTTTCCTCCAAATGGTGATATTCTTAATTTAGTATCAAAAACAGTGCTTTATTGTTTTATAAATTGGTCGCAGCCGACCCTCAAAATGAATGTAGATTTTGTTGCTAGGCTACACTAAATACACACAGACTTCATAAATTGCATATTGTTTGGTTGTCAAAAATATCTCTGTATTGAGTGATTGTCTCTCATTCTTGTGAATTCTTCTGATTTGGAGTGTTCGCATAGGGACATTTTGTGAATTTTGGCAAATTGATATTTTTTGCGAACACAACCAAAATTAATAATTTACAGTGTGCGTATGACATGACGTGAATAGATTCCAAGTTCAACAAATGTTTACATCTTGTCTCGCATACTTTGTTACAGAAATCGTCTAATTCTTATGACATGTTCATGCGTGGTGAAGAGATATTGTCGGGAGCTCAGCGAATACACGACCCAGAGTTACTGATAGAACGAGCAACGGAACACGGGATTGGTAAGTAATCTATAAATAACTATGAAAAATGCAGTCCCCAACAGGGACTATGCCATAAATATTGACTTGGTGGATAATTGAGTGGATTGACAAATGGTTTATTTTATTATGTTGGCAGGCATTGAAAGTATCAAGCCATATATTGATTCATTTCGATATGGTGCTCCTCCCCATGCTGGGGGCGGTATTGGACTTGAGAGAGTGACCATGCTGTTCCTGGGATTGGATAATATTAGGAAGACGTCGCTATTCCCACGTGATCCCAAACGGTTAGCACCATAAGTCAGAGTATACCCGTTCTTGGAGAAGTCGGATCTATAGTGACACATGTTGATAATAATCCTTGCCAAAGATATGTGTAATTATACCAGCTCTACAATACATCAGTCCCTGATTGAATAAGTTGACAGCTTTTGTCATTTTCCTTAGTGAAGACTTTATTTTAGCTGGAATTAATGTTTGACTTTTCAGATGTTGAATGTGAAATATAGGAAAAAAGGTATATTTGCGGGATTTTATTTTCACTAAATTATTCTGTCAGTGAAAATAGCGAAAATTAATTCCAAGGTAAAATAAATTATTTTACAGTAATTTACTCTGCTTGATTTCATCGTGAATTAATTGAACTAATGTGATTTACTTTATTTTCATTTGAATTTCATTTTTCAAAACTTTTCAGCGCAAATAGCAAAAAATTATTCCAAGTGAAAATAAAGTATTTACAATGTAAAATGTGTGTGGTTTGAATTTGTTGTATGTACCATGAAATCAAATTACACAAATTTTGAATTACTGATGTGTACCATAAATTAAAATTCCATGCATTCTGTATTATTGGTACTACAATAAATTCAAACCACACAAATTTTGATTTACTGTTGTGTGCCATAAAAAAAATTCCATGCATCATGATTTACTGGCACGCACCATAACAATTAAAATCACGCAAATTTTGAATTACTGGTACACATAATGAATTCAAATTGAAAAAAAAATTGAATTTCTGATGCGTGTTGTAAATTAAAATTCCAAGCATTCTGATTTATAGGTTCATACCATGAATTCAAATTGCAAGAATTTTGAATTACTGGTTTGTACCATGCATTCAGATTTGTTGCCAACAAATCACAAGTGGTTTGAATTACTAGTGAGCATCCTAGATTTGAATTCCACAAATTCTGAACTATTGGCACAGACTATAAAAATCACATAGCCATTCAGGATGACTGGATGGATTCTATTTTAAAGCTGAAAATTAATTAAAATCATGCATTTTTAACATCCCAGAATGAAATCAAACTTTACAGTTATACAGCATGTTCTGATTCAAAATGGCTGGTTTCAGTTTTGTTTTTTATTGCAAGACGAAAGCTGTATCATATTTACGCACAAATGTGTGCTCATTTGTTGCCAGTTATGAGGCTTGCATGTTATTTTACAGAATACATTTAAGGATGATATTTTGTTAATCCCTATACTAGTAGCTCATTTGCATACTGTTGTCATGACGTCTATGTACTTTAATATCTCAGACATATTTTTACATTGTAACTCAGACCAGACATCTTTAGATAAATAAACATTATAGTTATGTGTTGTCAATTAAAAGTAATAACAATGAAACAAAGTATGTCTTCTTTTCTAACATGCATTATACCCGTGATACCATGAGATTTTGTTGGTTGAACTTGGACTTGAAATGGATGAAATGTGAATTGTTAGCTGGTTTGCAACATACAGAATCTTGTAGCAATTATCCTGGCTAGTTTACAAGGTTTTCATCACTTTTTCAAACTTTCCACGACTGGTTACAAACATATAAACTCTAAGGTAAAACTTTCAAACAACTCTAATAACTTTGCATTCATTTTATACAGCTATTTACGCTATTTCTTAACATTATACTTTGAGCATGTATTACGGTCCTGTAACACATTTGGGCTTTTTGCTCTACTTTTAATTAATTTTTCTAACTTTTTACTGCAGGGTTCAGTTGGCCAACCACTTAGGTCAAATTTTCAATCCCTTTGCATGATCTTTCCAAAAGGTTAGTACCACAGTCAACAATATTACAAATTTAATCACACATTAAAGGCAATTTTCACGGTGTTATACAAAAAATGTTCATCGCCGTCACAAATTACACACATTAAAATATATATAATTTCAATAATAGTCACAAAATTTTAACAAAAAACTTGATTTGCTCAGGCAAGTATTTGCCTCTGCTGGTGAAGCTAAACGTTCCACATAAGCCAATCTCATGATCACTCTGCTATAGGAGTCTTTCTATTGATAGCACTTGTATGTTTTGGACTTGACCTATGACCTCTACAATTTGTGATGACAATGAAATGAATTATGTAGGTTTGTTTTGTGAATGTTGGGAAGTTGATTTTTGCATTTGAGGGATTATTGTTTCAGTGGTGATAGTTTCCTTGTATTTTTGGTAAAGCCAAGGCAGACTTTAATACAATAGCTTCCATGTTTTGACCTACTGTGCTATTGTTTGCGAGTCATGAGATACACTTCAAAATGTGTTACATTTTTGCAAAAGACAAATTAATTTATTGAAAAAATGCTTTAAAGTTAAAAAAAAATACTTGACATTTCGATAAATTGATTAAAATTTAGAAAAGTAGGCTTGTATTAAAAAAGCAACCTTGAATACAGGGAAAGCTGTATGGGAATGTGCATAGAAAGTCGAAAAGTTTGTCTTGAATGTCTAAAACGATGATGTATTGAAAGTCAGGAAAGCCGAAAAAGTTGTTAAAGTGGGTATACTTGCCTGGAATCTAATCCTGGAGTGATTGTTTGTGAAGTCTGAACGGTTGAATGCAAAGTCAAAAGATGACTTGAAAGTCAAATAAGTTTACTAATTTGAAAATTGGTTGCAGGGGAAGTCAAAAAAGTAACCAAAAATATCTAGGATATTCAACAAAAATGCCTGGTTAACAGTTGTTTTGAATGTAAAGTTTTTTTGTAATGACGAAAAAGTTGTATAAAAACAAATCGCATGGAAGAATGAAAAGTTGTATAGAAATTCTCAAACATTGACTTGAAAATCAAACACCTTGCATGGAAGGACAGAAGTAAGTTGTCTGTCAGAAGATTAGCCTGGAAAGTTATAAAAGTTGTATGGAAAGTCGGGGAAAAAATACAATATCGGGAAAGAAGCCTGGTTAGTACAACACATGCTGCTGGGAATGTAAAAAAAGTGGGAAGTCAGGGAAACTATATGAAAGTTATGAAAAGGTGATGTAAAAGTCAGAAACGTTGTATGTAAAGTGTTTTGGGGGATCCTAATTCAACTTTAATTTGATGAATTTTGGGAAGTTGTCTTGAAAATTAACGAATTCGGAAATAAACAAGTTGTATGGAAATTTGGAAAAGTAGTGTTAAAAATCGAAAGTTGCCTTGAACATTGTGTTGAAATACTGAAGATAATATTTTTGTTATTTTCAACTTCTTAAAGACTACCAGATCAATTGCTTTTAAGTTGGTACCTTGGGTAAACCTCTTTCGGATTTATTCATTTTGTGATGATACTGGTTTATTTATCTGTCTATTGTTGGCAAATATTTTTGGTAAAATTTTTTTATTTTCATCTTCATTGCTTTGATACTTTATGTAGGTATATTGGGTGGACCTCAGTTAGATTTGTCAATTTGATGAAGAATCTAAAATTCTCTATTTTTGGTAAATATTTTTGACTTTTTGAAAACTACCAGCCCGATGCTTTAATATACCTGTATTATATGTACATGCAAGTGACGATATTGTTAATTTTTTATTGTTTACCAAATATTTTTGTCATTTTTTGTTAAGAATTATATTTTTGATTTCTTGAATGGAAAGTACCAGCCAGATTGCTTTGATTCAGTTCGATCAGAGCCGAAAGAAACTGTGCCCTAAAATACTTATTTGAAAAAAACATGGCTGAAAACGATTTTGGTGTTGTGCTTGTGTTGTTTCTTTACATGCCACAATCTTGTTTAGCTGGGAGAAAAAAAGAAACAGTCATGAGTCTGTTATGATTTAGATATCTTGAATAAACAGGATACACGGCGGCTAAAATACGCTAAATGTGTTACAGCCTATCCGCTAAAGTTATTGTCATGTAAAATTACCATATTGTAATTGTTCAACTGTTGTGATATGTGTAACAGTTGTCAAACCAAAACCTCGCAGGAACATGTTGCCGTACTGTGACCGCGTACCCCTTTTCAAGCCACAAATTATGTGAAATTACAAACGATGTCTCCGCCATAATTAAAATGAGAGGTTACTTGAAGAAACGATTGATTTCGGCTCTGATAGTTGGGACTGATGCGTATATACGGTCAGGGCTCAACCCTATCGAAGATTCAACCTTGAGGGTTTATTGGGTTCATTTTTGCTGGCTCGAGCTGTTGGGCTCCGATAAAATGCTGTCGTGAAATGTAGCATATGATGTTCGTGTAACTGTATATGCCCTGTAAATTAGCTTCGGCTAAAAGGTGTTAACCAGAATAAATAAATTTTACAAATCAATTTACAATACAATTGCCTTGAGGGTGAAAAAAGTTAACTCAATATTTGTTCAAACCAATTTTGAAATTAATTTCATCATGAATTTGTGTGCATTTACTTGCAATGATGGAAATAAACATTGCTAAAAACAAATACGATTACCATAGAAAAAAAAGCAAAAAAAAGTTTAATGGAAATTTTGCTATCACATCCAAAACATTTCAGATTCTGAACTGTTTTCAAATTATTCATTTCTGTACCTTATTGGAAAAAGAGTCTTCAATTCCGCTAAAACCCTCAAAAAAGATAAGGTTCAATTTTTTTCACAGCATGCAATTTTCCATCAAGTTGTGCCCCAGTAATGACGGAACACCATTTTGACATAGATTGCAAGGAGCAATGTTGTTCAAAGCAACAAGTTTGTTTAGTCAGGAAATCATAAGTCAACTTAGAATACAACAAATTTTTGAAATACAGTAAATTTCTTTTGACGAAATACAACAGATCAAAATATTGACGTTGTATTTTGCTGATATATTTGGCATGATGCCTCTGACCTTAGTAGCAATATGCATCATATTTTCTTATGCGACAGTTACGATAATCAAATGTCATGAATTGGTGAACCAGGATGAGTGATACAACACCAAATTTAAATGAAATCTGCTCAGGCATGCCGAAGAACACTTGCTTAAATGGTGTCTTTTTTTAAATGACAGAAAGTCAGTAAAATGTCAACAAAAGGAAAAGCAAATCAAAGAGCACATGTAAACCATTGAGACTTTTTATATAAACATTATCAAGGCACATCCAGTAACGGTTAAGAACGCATGAAAATAAAACCAACAACTCTACAAATTGGCCATTTAGAATCAAATCATAAAACAAAATTACTGCATACATGTAAGTGACCAAACATGTTCAATGAATCTGTCAAGGGCTGACAAACTTAAAATAAATTGAGAGGTATGTGTATTCAATTATGACTGATCTTTGTACCAACTTTAAATAAAATCAGTGAATTTGTACCTGAAAAACATTAAGAAAACAGTTGGCAATTTTGAATCAAATTGCAAAACAAAATGATGTGCATTAATAACATTGGAGGCATCAACAAACAAACAGGACATTTCAAAACAAATAAAACATAACCAGTCTCTCTTTTCATATACATATGTTTATTTTCGACTTGCTAACAAAAAAACAAACAAAATTAAATATCAAAATAAACAAAAATTTAATATTTAAAATAAAGTTTTTAGAAAGTTTCAAAATAAGTTTTCGGCTGAAGTATAAAATGTTATGTAAAATAAAATATGCTTTTATTTACATTAATGTTCTAAGTTGCTATGGCAACCAATATTACAAGTAAATTTCTTTACCCTTCCAAGTTGTGCTTGATACAATCAATAAAGAATTTTTCTACAACTACAGAAACCCAAATAAAAGTACTCCTTACAATTCTACTACTAAATTAGATTGTGCTAGTCTGAACCAGTCATTTGATTCACTGTAAATACTTTACATGTAATTATTCGCCGAGTTTTAATTTTACTATTTTCGCTAATAAGTAAAATCCGCTAAATTAAATACACAGGAACATGCAAATTAACAATACAACTACCTTGTTTTACTGGCAAATCTGTGAACTTTTTAAAAGTCAGTGAATATAGTGAAAATTAAATGTGAGTGAAAATAAATGGTTTTACAGTATCAATAATTAATGTCTCGTACAAACCTTGCTCATGAAATGACTCGCTTTCATGAATATACTACAAAACATATACATTTCATTACTTCCTATATGAATCCCTCGATGCAATAACCCATACCGATAATGTCCGGCTATGTATTTTTACAAAGATACTCAATTTAAGTTTAGATGTAATGCATTATAATAAATACTAAAAAAAAAAAGGCTTGTGTACGAAAATTTAAGGATACAAATTTACATAGACGACAGTAAAAGTAGAATGATGTCAGTTTTCATCTGATGTAAACATGACAAGAATGGGTGAAGATGCAATGTTTAAAAGCTATTTTCTCAGGATCTGTGGCTGGTAGGTTTAATGCTGAACCACCCTCTGGAGAGTCAGACTCCAAGATGGACATCATCACTAGCAATTGAAAAAGAGGACAAAGAAAGTAGCATTGTCCAATTTTCACTTTTACATGTTCATTCAGGTCCAGCGCCGGTCCAGTGCAGTGCATAGAAAACGGATGTTCTCCAGTAACTGGCCATGTATAGAGAAATTCACCTTGATATTAAAGTACACCAGTATTTTGAAAATGAGAAAAGTCAACGAAACAGCAAAACAACCGAATGCAACATCCTAAATTGCCTGCATACACCTCTCTCTAAGACACAGTGACTTTTTAATCAAGCAGTTACTTGTATTAACCTTAAATCGTTGATCACGATAATATATGACATTATAAAAATCAAAACCAAGTATCACGAAACGAAACTATCAAGCGTTCTCATCGACGATCCTTTTGGTTTTGTAACCATCTTCTTTTTAGTTGTCCGCACTATTTTCCGCGATGACGGAGCCGAGAATTCAGTCTGGGAATTGTAGTGAAGGAAAGCGACAACAAATCAAAACTTCATATTGTTACATTTAACAAGTATGTAGTGTTTCTGCAAAAAGATACATCAAGTACTTTTCATATTCTGATTTAGGGTTTCTATAATTTAACCATCATGCAAAGCTGTCTGTTGGTTCTAAAATAGGTATCACAAACGGTTGATTATTTAAGAAAAATTTAATTTTTCATATTTCAACAAAATTTTTACTGTCAGTCTGCTCAGGTGGTCTCGCACACAAATAATTTACTTGTTTTCAAGATGATATCAGTACTCAGTTATGATAATAACTGTAATGTAATTTTTTAAATTAACCCTTTAGTTAGCATACTAAGGTCAAACCCATATTTGCATACATTTAATTACTGAGATCAATCCCCTTATTTGCATAGTTACTGAGGTCAAACGGACTGGTTTGCATAATTGGCAAAGTCAAACTCTTTAATTTCCATAGTTACAGAGGTCAAGGCCCTAATTTGCATAGTTAGCAAGGTCAAGAGCTAATTTGCATAGTTACCGAGGTCAAACCCCTAATTTGCATAATTAGATGTCAAGCCCCAATTTGCATAGTTACTGATGTCAAATGCCCAATTTGCATAATTACGGAGGTCAAGCCTCCAATTTGCATAGTTACTGAGGTCAAGCCCCCAATTTGCATAGTTACTGATGTCAAATTTGCATAATTACTGAGGTCAAGCCCCCAATTTGCATAGTTACTGAGGTCAAGCCCCCAATTTGCATAGTTACTGATGTCAAATTTGCATAATTAATGAGGTCAAGCTCCCAATTTGCATAGTTACTGATGTCAAATGCCCAATTTGCATAGTTACTGAGGTCAAGCCTCCAATTTGCATAGTTACTGAGGTCAAGCCCCCAATTTGCATAGTTACTGAGGTCAAGCCTCCAATTTGCATAGTTACTGAGGTAAAGCCCCCAATTTGCATAGTTACTGAGGTAAAGCCCCCAATTTGCATAGTTACTGAGGTCAAGCCTCCAATTTGCATAGTTACTGAGGTCAAGCCCCCAATTTGCATAGTTACTGATGTCAAATTTGCATAATTAATGAGGTCAAGCCCCCAATTTGCATAGTTACTGATGTCAAATGCCCAATTTGCATAGTTACTGAGGTCAAGCCTCCAATTTGCATAGTTACTGAGGTCAAGCCCCCAATTTGCATAGTTACTGAGGTCAAGCCTCCAATTTGCATAGTTACTGAGGTAAAGCCCCCAATTTGCATAGTTACTGAGGTAAAGCCCCCAATTTGCATAGTTACTGAGGTAAAGCCCCCAATTTGCATAGTTACTGAGGTAAAGCCCCCAATTTGCATAGTTACTGAGGTAAAGCCCCCAATTTGCATAGTTACTGAGGTAAAGCCAATTTGCATAGTTACTGAGGTAAAGCCCCTAATTTTCATAGTTAGCAAGGTCACACACCAAATTTCCTTGGTTACTTAAGATCAAACTCAGGATTGAGATCAATTTTATTCAATAAATTGCTTGACTGCCCTCTGGTGTTAACAAAAGGATACAGTTTCAATAAAAGTATGATGTCCTCCAAATCCATTGTAGCCTCGCCTTATCTTACTCTCACTCTCCTTACTGTCTAATAGAGGGCGCTTTTTAAATAATGACGAATTACGATACATGTTACACATCAGTGCTTTATCTGCAGCCGCTTGTTTCTGTGAAGGACAGTAAGTATTATATTCATATACGAAACAATGTTGAGAACGCCACCTAACGATAAATCGATGAAGTGTCAAATGCAATAGAAGTAGCACAGTCGTGAAATCTTTGATATAGGTCCAATGAAATGTATATAAAGCATATAATATGCATTGTTTACATAACTGTGCAATAAGCGATGGTTCCCAAAACAAGTGAAGCTGTCTGAGTTGGGTAGCCATGTGAGCTATTTTACTGATACAGTATACATGTACAAATAAACCATTTTTGTTTAATGTTCGCTTCTAATAGAGTAAATATGGTAGATGTAATTTTACAAATTTTCTTTCTGTCATCTTCCACAAAAAACTTCAAAACTTCAAAACCTTTGCAGACATTACAAGAATTTAAAACTAATCTTACCTGTGCCATATTCTCCTTGGCGAGGGATGTAGTTTTGACATAATTCACACCAAACTCCTCACACTCAGATTTCATTTTAATGCTGGGACTTTCTTTCACTATTTCCGGTGTATCAGGGTTTCCTGGTATGAGATTGAATTCAATATCTCCAGAGTCGTGTGATCCTGACAGACGTGGTTTCTTCAAATGTTGAGGTGCTGGACTGAGAAATAATTAACATTTATACTCATCAGGTCAAATAAAAAAAATTCTAATGAAGTCTATATTGTGACATGTACTTTTCAATGATAAGTGTACTGAAAAGTCAACAGTACTTTCTAGAACCTAGGAACCCATTGTGGTTACCCTGTCAGTGTGTGTGTTTCTATTGAAGTCTGTACTATGAGATACATACCTTTCCATAATAAGTCTACTGATGGCACCAGCCGTACCACTAGGAGAGTCAACAGCACTCTCTAGAACCTAGGAACCCATTGTGGTTACCCTGTCA